GTGCTGTAAGTATGTGCTGCTGTTGGTTGGTCAGTGTTGGCAGAGACCTTCTGGTTTGCCCAGCTGGGGCCCAGCAGCCAGAAAGGCACAAAGCTGCCATTATGCACCGAGAGTTATTACAGCAGCGCCTACAGCCTCCTTTGACTGGAAAACCTCATGAGATGCAGACTACTACCTTTTAAGGCCATTGGAAACTCAGTGTTGAATCTTTAAGAACGTAATAGGTGATGCCATCAACTTCCTAAAAGGTGATTAACAACTGCGCAGCGCTTAGTCAATCTTTATTTACTTACTTCCACTCAACACCAGACAGACCTAGAAGGAATGACTTTTTGTACTAAATAACCTGAATATTTTAGGCTCAGATCATTTTTGTATCGGGTCAGAATCAGAATCAGAATACCTTTATTCGTCCCACAGAGGGGAAATTAACATTTGTTACAGCAGAAAAGAGCCAAAGACAGCTTAATGTTTAACAAGAAGTATGCATAAAAAACAAAATATTAAAGAAAAAAAAGAATTACACAATTTACAAAATACACGGCCTGTAACAGTTCTGAAGATGTAGCAGCCATATTCCACAGTTATTCACGGAATATATATATATATATATATATATATATATATATATATATATATATATATATGTATACATAGTTGCCTACCTTTTTGATATGTTTTTTCTGTATATGTGTATTTTGACCTGTAGAGTTCTGCTGTTTCTTACGCTGTGCTTCTCTTTCAGGCGGTGGAATATGATGGTTGGTCAGATATGTTCTTCCTCGCCCTGTTCATCATGTCTTGCATCATGGGGTAAGAACACTGGACAAAGCTTCTCTGTGACGTGCATGCTTGCGCAAGGGTTGTGTTTTTTATGCCAGAATTTGAACATCTGGATTATACTAGATATCTGTGGCATCACTATTATATCAGTGACAGCTGGATCCTAGGCCAAAGCTCCACTTTCTTCTGAAGCTCACAATGACTCTTTGTTTCGCATTAACACATTGTGAAATCTGAAGCAAGTGTTGAGTAACATAACATTGTTGTTTTTCAGGTTTGTTCTGATGTATTCCACTGTGCTGTGTACACAATACAACTCTGCATTAACAACTACCATCGTGGGGTGCATTAAGGTAAACAGCAGACAAGTGTGATGTAATGGTGAGATGCACGGTAAAAAAAAGACTTTACAAAAAACAATTAGCCTTAATAATATGTTCCTAATTTTACAGAATGTCTTGGTGACATACATCGGGATGGTGTTCAGCGGAGACTACATCTTCTCTTGGACAAACTTCATTGGTTTGAATATCAGGTATATAATGATAAAATGAATGATGAAATTCTGTTTTTATATAAGGATGGATTTTTTCAAATACAACCAGGCTCGACCAAATATTTTTTTCTAGTGTTCTCGTACTTCACTCATCTACATCAACTACTTAGCTACATACTCAGCAATCTCTACTTTTGGGTGGATTGCCATTACATTTGTCATTAGGAACGTTTTGTGAGCTAGTTGGGGAGGGTCCACTAGTAATGAGTCAGACTTGGCCTCCTTAAACTGGGAACTCCTAAATAATGTTCTCCCACAGATATCACTTATACTAAAGTGCCAATCAGCTGCAGAAATGTATTAGTGCAGGATGGATCTTGTTGGGAAGTATGATGCGTTTTATGAATGAAGATGTGCTGCAACATGTTCATGCTGATTGAAACAAATAACCGTTCTTTCAAGTCTCATGTTGCCTTACACTCAGATAAAAGGTTTAGTAGCCTCTCTCTCACCTCACTATATGTTGTTATCCAGCCTTTCAGAAGAATAAAACATTATTGTCCATATGGTGTTCTTGTACAAATGTTAGTGTTCTCACTCGTGGTTGCTGTGTGTGTTGCAGTATTGCGGGCAGCCTGGTGTACTCCTACATCACTCTCACAGAGGAGCAGACGAACAAAGCAAGTGAAAACACCAAGCTGGACATCAAGGGCAAAGTGGTCGTATGACAAAGACACTGGATTTTATAGTATTTTCTGCTGATAAATGAAAGAAAAGCTCTATTTTTTAGTATGACTTTTATTTATGGAGTATTTTAGCAGCAAAGTCTTGGAACGGTGTTGGGTTAACTTCATTCTGTCTCTGTATGGAAATGGAGCCTCGCCATCACCGTGACACTGTCAGTTGGTTTTTAAACGGTGTTTTCTTTTTAAATATTTGTATTTTGATACTGTACATGTGAGCATTGAGAATAAGGGAAACATATTTATTATATTAGAACATTTCCTCACACTTCACAAGCTTAGCGTTAAACGTTGGGATGACGGGATGTTTCCTGAATGCAGGAACAGCTGGAACTATCAGTTATTTAAAGCATGGGTGTGTACTGATTTGAATCATGGGACTTTTAAGTGATGGTTATTTTAAAGGCACAATCCTTATTTTGTATTGCCTTCTCTGTTTTGCCATTTACAAGGAATGTAACTTTAGATGCCTTCTAAGCACAGTGAGATGCACTGACACTGTCATTATCTATTGTTTCAGTATTTAGTACATTTCTTTTAGCACATACACTGTTCTAAGCTTGTTACAGACAAACGGTAATGACAGTGATCTAACCTCATCCTTCAAACAACCGAAGTGGATTAGCAGTGGGCTGTTGGTTCCCATTAAGGATTGTGGCTTTAAATAAATGTTGCCGTCTCCTTTTGGGAGATATTTTATAATTATCGTTTACATTTTTCTCCCTCAGTATTACAGAATGTTAGTTGTGGAGTCTCCATGGCTGTAACTGGTTCTCTCTATGCAGAATTAACAAACAATTGTTAATAGTTTGTTATTTGTACAAGGGGATCCATGTTTTGTTTTTTCTTGACACAATGTTATCGCACTTTGAACTGAGGTAGCACCTGCAAAGGGGTGAAACTGAGTTGCCTCACCTCCTGTTACATCCATTATTGAGATTGAGATTATTGTATTCTTCCGAAATGTACATTTCAGGTTTAAAAGTATTACAAGAGATAAGTGTTTTTCTAAACCTTTTAATAGTCAGGTACGAGCGTCTATCTTTTTTTTTTAAAACATTTTTTATCTACACCATTTTGTATTTATTACTTTTTTTTTAGACTAATATTCATTTTGTAAGTGGAGTGGCTTGTGAATTGGTGATGCTGTTATCATCTCAAACACGGTAACCATGGATTTGTAGCTGAAACACAATGATGTATTGTTACATTAAAAAAACTGTTGACTTGACGTTTCTGTTCAATTTGTTGTTTATGTTTTGATTTCAAAGGTAGAATTCGACTGTTGCTAACTTTAAGTTATCCAATGCTCTGTAATGTCCAACTTAAGTCCTGTTCAAATGACTGATTCTTGAAATATTTCGTAATTATTTTCAAACTGTCAAATGTCGCACAACACAGGATAATTCAAAAACAGTTCAGTGGCTGAGCCTCTGTATTTGAGCTTATAATTAACAACAGTAGAGCGACAGTTCCCCCTTCTGTTAGTTAAAGCTGGCAAATCATGACATCACAGATCCGCAGGATTAAAGAGTCCCTCTCTTTTTAAAGTTGTACACCAGGGCTACATTCAAGCTCTTATACAGGTTTTTACAAAATGTACCCTGCACTTATTTATAGAAACAGTGAGTGGAAGAACATTTTAATTTATGTTTGTAATGCCAAACTTTCTCCTGCCTTGCTTTTTTCCACCACTAGGAGTCACTAAAATCAAATGTTATTTCCTACACATGATTCACTTTTCTGGGCCATTTTATATAAACCAACTTCCAATATTCAACATATGAACTGATGATGTATGTGAATTCAAGGCTGTTACACTGATCCTCTCCATACACGCATACTATTGGGCTTTACATTTAATACCATTTTCTTAAAATATATGCAAAACATTCTTTAGGATTTAAAGCTAAACATCCAAAATGTAATCTTAATTACTGGCTTTTTTTTTTATATGTAGCATACTGAAAAACTGAGCTACAGCTACATAGAAAAATCTGTTCATTTTGTCAGTTTTGCCCGAGGCAATATTTCAAATTAATAAACATTAAAATGGGGTAAAGCACCAAACATAGGACATATTTGAATACAAAAAAAAAATTGAAACCATTTCAAGACATTTATGAAACAAACCTAATATCATACATTAATTACAGCTCATGACGTCTGTCCTCACTGGTCTTTAAAGGAGACATGTCATGGCCATTTCCACTGATCATAATTCCATTGTTGAAGTCTACTAGAATAGATTTATATTGTGCAATTTTCCAAACTCACATTGGTTTCGCATACAGCATCTCTGTAAACTACGTGTATTCACTGAATTTCACTCTCTGCCTTTAACGGCTCGTTGTAGCTCCAATAGCTCCAGCCCCCACCCTCCCTGTGAGCACAGTGTGCTCTGATTGGTCGGGACGTTGTGAATCGCGCTGAGCTCCGTGGAGGTGTTGTTTCCTTGTTTAGCGATACACAGCGAAACACAGCGAAACTCATCCTGAGCACACACAAACTCACAGACGAAGTAAAAACAATAAGTGTGGCTTGATATTGAGTAAGAAAAAGGTTGATAAACACTGTGAGAATGGGTCTGCAGAGAGAATTTCTCTGCGATCCCAACTGTCTGTTATCAGCCTGCAGCCAGGGAGGAGAAATCAGCAGAGCTGCCTGCACTGTGTGTGTGTGTGTGTGTGAGGAAGTCCGTGGATTGGTCAATTTGGACCAATCAGCGGGGGTTTAACGTAACAGCTCCACGGATTGGTCCATTTCGTTCCGGGTACGGGGTTAAGTCACCCCGTACCCGGAAGAATCAAATGGACAATGACGTATCTCCAACGAGGCGTTTTGGGGAGGTATTTTCTGTGTTAGAGTTTTACTCGCTACAGGGTGTACTTTGAGGGTTTTGACTCTGCACACCGTTTACATGCATAAAAACCTTCATACGGGTAATAACCGGAAAAGCATGACATGTGTCCTTTAAGTTACTTATACCGTGTTTCCACTGCGCCGTACTGCTTTACTCGACTTACATTCAGCATTACACAACATAACCCATTACCACAAATACATGAAGAAACTGGCATAAGTGTCCAAAGATTAAAAGAAAAATATCTTCGAAAGTTTAAAAATATATAGCTTTTGTGTTTCGCACAAAACTGTCAATTGATTTGCATTCAAATGTTATATTAATTGAAACTGGGTGAATTAACGGGAAACAATAAAAAAGGATGTGTACAGTTTAAAATCAGTAAATATTGCATTGTTTACGCATAAAACACTAGAGAAACAGGACAAATCGATAGAAGAACCTAAGCAGGTACAACAAGGAGAGTTCATCATACATGGAGAGCTTTGTTTACATCATTAGACCACAGATCTGTGCACAAAACAAACATGATAGAAAGATATTCAAGCTTTGACAAAAAAAAAGTGGTGACACCTGAGAAGTGTACAGCACAGAACACTCATGTGCCAGTACTACTAAAAAAAAAGAAAGGATTTTGCTTCAATTCTTATCATGGCTGCATCATTTTCCCCACAGCTGTTCGAACATATTCATACTTACGTTATGTGGAGTGGTTCGATAACAAAGCTAAACACACTTGAGGAATTAAAGATAAATACGGCTTTGTAAATCTTTAAATTCCTTCACCAGTATATTATAAAGATATGATCAGTGGAGGCTGGGTTTATTAGTTAGAAGGGCTGAGTGCAGAGATTTAATTCAGGTCCTTTCTAAAGAGCCCTGGAAGGACCTCTTCCTAAACTACACATACAAAGTAACACAAAATGGTATTGTAGAGGAAAGCAAAAGAAGTTCAGAAAATAATTCCCACTAGGTTTTTCTGGGATCTCCATACTATTATTATTATTATTATCACTACAGGTTGAAAATAGACCCACATCATCTCAGCAAGTCTCAACAAAACTAGACTAACCTGTGCGGCAACCCAACAAAAAAGTTTGGCATTTAAACCAATGCATAATTTACAAAGCAATACACTGAAACATTTGATAAACACCAACAAATCCAAATTCCAATAAACAAATAAATAACCTTTGGTGCAAGTGTGTTTGTATTGGTCTAAAGCAGTAATAGCACATAATAAAAAGGTTTGAACCCTTCTCTTTCTAGCAGCAAGCAGCTAGGAGAGCTAAAGAGAGTTAACATTTCACTTTATGGCGGCTCTTCAGGTGAGCCAGACAAACCTGCGCCACTACACCGTTACGTTTTTAAACCGCATCCAAACAGGAGGAGCAGGACCGAGCCGCATGACATAAATGTGCCTCTCTTTTGCTAAATAAGATAAAACGATGCAACATATTTGGCTATTTATTTTCTCAAAAGGTGTCTGGTACTGCATTACAAGGTCTTTTTAAACGTCCCTCATGTTCCAGGTTCCTGCAAGGTACCACATTTATATTGGTGAAGGGAAATATCACGGCAGTCAGCCGCCGCAGCCAAACTAGGTGAAAGGTGAGGCATTACTCATTGCAACTGATTTGTCTTCCTACAACCTTTAGCAGAGACATGCAGCTTTAGTGACCCTGATTTTATTGGCAGCTGCACCATTATATGAATCCCCAAGGCACATGAAGCTTACCTTACTTTTTATCTCATAACTTAAAGGCAGAGAGAGAAAGATATAAGTATTAAATATATCACTTATTGCTTCAATACAAAAAATAGAAGGAGTTAAGTGTATAGGGGTGAAATGGGAGTGACTATTATTCAGAGATGTAACAGTCCAGCTGCTCTCTGTCAGTTTAAAGTTTGCTGAGGTTCTCAGCCATGTAACAGAGACTGTAGAAGTTGCAGCCGATGCAGCAGAGGTTACAGAGGGAGGACAGCAGTCTGTACAGCCACAGACGACTGCTCAGGTGTCTGTATTTCACATCTGTCTCACACAGCTTGGCGTAAGCTTCGCGGTTCGATGACAAGCCGATGTCCTGTCCCAATCCGCACGCCTGCTCGATCAGGTGCATATCTGCCATGATCTCTGATGTCATTTGTCCAAACCACTGAGCGTTGACAGCTGAAACTGTCACCGACACAAATAAAATGAAGATCTGGTGGGGACAGAAGAGTCAGAGATTAAAAAGATATTCGGAAATTGGTTTTATGTGATTTTATGTTTTGGAACAAGCAACACACCTGAAATGCTTCTCTTTCGTCCAGCAGGTCGCTGGGATGATACACAGCGTAGATAGTGAGGTTAAAGAAGGCACAAGCTGAACCCAAGTGGAGGTAGAACGGTACAAGACGACTCTGGATAAACCCATAAGTGTGTCTATTCAGGTGGTTGTCCATCACAAAGCCTGAGCAGAAAAAAAGTCATTAGCACGGCTGGGAATCTCTTATTTCCACAAGAACAATATGACACAAACACAAGGTTTAGTTTATTAAAAAACGATGACTTAAGTGGACCTTTGGTCATTGGGGACCAAGCTAAAACTAAAGTAAGTCAGGGTCGAGGCATAAAAAGCCACCATGAAAAAATTGTTTGCTCAGATACAACTGTGGTCCTGCTTACAATTGGCATAAAAAAGCATGCTAGGTGTTCCAAGTGGATAGATCTAAATTTGAGTAAATGCATCCCGAGATGTACTTAATACACAGTGTGATTCAAATGATCGGGCCAAACTGGAGGAACCCAGAAGTCATTATTGTGTTGTTCATATAGCATGACATCCCTTGCCTTTATCTCCAACTGTATTTTGAATCATGTGTGTGTCTGTGTGCGTTGTACCAACTTGAAATGAAGGTGACCCATATCTGCATCCCCCAGTAGGAGGAGAGCAGCACCAGCTGCAGCAGCTTGACGGTGACCGTGGGCTCCGTGTCAGTGGACATGCTTCCTCTTCAGTCTCTCTGGTCTCCGGTCTGGACTCCACGGTAATCTCCAAGAAAAACACCGGCGTCCAGCAAGGCAAGGGATGCTCAATACTTAACTCCAGTCAGAGCCTCTGCAAACATAATCATACGGATAATAAGGACACATGCTTTCTTCTCCATTCAGTGATATGGAATAGTCGGTTGAAATTAGCAGCTGCACAATTCAACAAAATCTGTTGTTTTTTATATTTGCAATGTTATCCTTATCTGTGTAAACTGCCAACAAAGAATATAGTATTTTATTACGTGTGCTGTATGTATATGGATATATCTATTGGTTGCAATCTTTTCTTTTGTCTTTTTCTCTTTCCCATCCTTCAAAATATCTTTCTCTTTTTCTATTGGACAGAGATATACCCTGGAGAGTGCCCTGATCAAGCGTCTTTGGGGGTTTATTGAACATCTTCTTTATATTTTCTGTTGTTAAACATATATTTATTTGTAAAGTAAATAATAAAGAAACATAAAGTAAGCTGAGCAAACTGGGTAAAAGTGAAAGTGGGTTGTTAAACCCAGTCACTTGCTGATATGCAGACTGAAAGTGTGTGTACTCATCCAGATAGATAAGAAATGCACACATATTGCTACTGGTTCAGCAACAACTTCCCTAATAAAAATTGCTGCGTTCAGTGCCATACACGGTGTACCCTAAATAAAGCGGGTTATTGTCTCGACTGTACGAATTGTGTGGACTTATATCAAACCAGTAGGGAACTGCAACTGCATGTGTTCACAGCGCTTTAAAACAAACTTCTAACTGCTAATTAAAGGAAGTTAACTACAGTGTAACCGACAGCTGCTCCCCGTGTTACTAACAAACGAAGCAAATCTCTCAAAATCACCTTTGCGAAACAAATAGTCTCGAAAGTAACACCAACTATTGATATTTGCTAAGCATGCTGTAAAACCACTGCGTAGTTGGCAATAATGTAACATACACTCACTAGTGTGTTAGCAGCTAATGTAAGCTGAAGTTAACTCAGCGAGAGTTAGCTACAAACTGTCACTGTAACATTAGCTGCAGACAACAGTCCTTATAATCTTTAAGCAGAGTTACTTCAGACTATCACTTTATTGCATTAACTCTTAAGTACAGCCTACCTGTTTCCAATATTTCCGTACAGCTTGTTTAAGATGTTCTTCCGATCTGACAGTAGATGTACCTGCTGAAGGAAGCTAAGCTAAGTTCAGTGGGGAGGGGCCATTGGTCTGTTATAGAATATCTACACACTATTTCCCTGTCACCCCTCCTTGAGGAATTTAAAGTGTGTGTGAGAGGTCATTCCTGCAGGCACCTTCACACCTTAATTAACAATATTGCATTTTTCTTATATTAAAGGAAAACATTAAAACTCATCTCCACTTATCAACCAGTGTGTGTAATGTAATAAAAGTAATTTTAGATTAACAAAGTATATCTTCTTCTTCTTCTTCATTGATATAACACCTTTAAACAATCATGCAGCCCAAGGTACTTCACATAACTATATTTAAAACAGCTAAATTAATAACTATATTCATATGTAATTGGAAAAAGCACTCAAATCCAATAGAAATAGAGCTGTCTTATTCCAGTGTAGTCATATAACGCCACAGTGAGTCTTTAGGTCTGGAAGCTATTGAAAAAACAGGTTTTAAATAAAAAACGGTTGCATTTTTTTATATTTACATTAAATAGAGAAGGCACTGAAATCAAATAAAGAGAGCGGTGTCTCATTGGTGTAGTGTTGTCATATAATGCCAAGTTGGAGTCTTTAGGTCACATAACATGGAAGCTTTTGAAAAGATCTATGAGTTTTTTAATAATCAAAGATTGCATTTTTTATTTATTTACATTAAACAAAAAAAGCAATGACATCCAAAAAAAGTAAGTGTGTCCTACTTGTCCAGTTATTCAGTAATTCAAACCAAAGGAAATAATTGTCAAGAAATATCCATTTATTTAACTATATGCAATCCCATTTAAATAAGATGTTAAAGGATACAGAAGTACATACAAAAGGAACAAAAATATAAGTTTTGCAATGTGCTGGGTGAATCTGGACAATGTTTGGGTGACAGCTGTGAGTCCCTAATACTAGTGAAGTGAAGCATGGTATTGTTCCCTAAGAACTTCAGACGTATCTTTTTTTAAATCATGAGAATTATGTTTATTGCAGATAAGAGTTTGAAATCCTTAGTCCTGGTGCTATGACATTATTGTGATATAAAAATAGGTGTCCTATAAGTGACAATATAGTTGTTTGGCATCTTTTCCCCTGTATATCTTTATTTGAAAACATATATTTAATTGTATGTATAAAGATAATTAGGAAGTGATGTTTTGAGTGTATGACACTTGTAGTTAAGGCTGATCTGTTATTGAATGGTGTACAGACAAAAATGTAAAAAATATGTAATGTACACAAAGGTAGTTATACAGTGCCTAACATACATGTTTAAAAAAGGTAAAAAAGATAACCTTGTTTAAGGTTGTACAGAAAAATGGAAAAGCAGAATACAATCGATAATTGTTAGCATTACAATTTTTGTGCTTTTGCTTCACATTGATATAAGAGCCTCTTTAGACAAAAAAGCTAATTATTTAGCTTATAGCAGTTTGCCCAAAATGTATCTTTGTTTAAATCAATTTGTTGTAGCCGTTGAGACACACCAAATATGAGTTGACATTGCCTCAGTGTATCTGTCACACAGTGATCGGGGTCAGTGTCGGGCAGATTTACAGATTTTGTCGTAAACCTCCGGGAAGGCCTCCGTACAGCCCAGTTCCTCTCTCAGTTTGTGATACAGCCGTCCATCAAACATCTCCCAGAACTCCTCTCGGTCCATGTACACATCTGCGTACAGCATCTGGAACCTGCAGGAGACAGAATGCACATGTATTAACTACGTAAGCCTTGAGAGGCAAGTGGGGAAAACAATCCTATTTATTTTTATCCTTAGGTGTTGAGGCAGTTGAATTTGTTTTTTGTCACGATCAATAAAACCAAGTGTTTGTTGTTATATGTTATGTGAATAAAATACTAATTTCAAAAGGCTAAAGTGAATCCCTACCCAATTCTCTACAATTCTTTTTACAAATGCAAAATGTCCTGTATTTGTTTAGACTTACCCATGCACTTCTCTAACAAACTTCTCCAGCTGTCGTGTTGTTGCTTTAGCTTCAAAGTGTTTGACTCTTGGCTCTCCATAAGCCCCAATATCCACGTACAACTCGTCCTCTTGACCCTTGGGGTGCACCATCCCTCTGCCTGCAGGCAACAGGAAGGGACACAGCCACAGAGGGTACACCTGGAATAACACAAGAAACGCAGGAGTTTAACCATGGACTAATTACTATAAACAGCGGGTATTAATAGGCTTCATTCACATCAGTCTTACGTCGATGTCCTGGTGGAAGCGTGTGATGGCATCCTGCAAATTTTTCATGGGTACCAGCATGTCCTGCACCACGTGGTGCTGTTCATAAAGACGTCTGATGGTCTCCCCCTGGGTGAGCTTCAACAGAGAGATCTTAGGAGGAACCATCCATCCGAAAACCCAGCGAAATATTGGGTTGTTACCAAATGGAATAATATCCTGAAGAAAGGACACAACATAAACAACAATGGTTAAATATGATACTGAGGATGCCCTTATGTGATGCATGTTGCTTTAACTAGTGCTGGAACAATTAATCAATCAGCAAAACAATTTAAAGAAATGGTAGTTATTTATTAGGCAAAAAAGGCCAAACATTTGGTGATTTCAGTTTCTCAAAAGTGAAGATTTTTCTCTGAATTAAATATTTTGGTGTTTTGGGGTGTAGAAGGACATTCAAGATCCTATCTTGGCTTATGGAAATGTGTGAATGTTTTTTGTATTAACCCTTTACCTCAGGTTTGAGGTAATGAGGACGACAATCAATAATATTTTCAGTTCTATTAGCTAAGACAATTTCTGCATAATGATAGAATTTCTACATTAAACCTTTTTCCAGATGAGACAAGTAAAATCCAGTTGCACTCCTATTATTTTCCAACAGAGGGCGCCCACACCTAGTGCCAAACACTCACATTTCAACATCCCACACATTAATGATGTCTATCACAAATTGTCGATTTATTCAACGCATTGGTCAGCCTTCTTTCTTTCCAATTTTCTTCTGCACTGTCTACCAAACCCTTTCAAAAACACCAAAGGCCAGAGTAAGCCCCTGCAGGTATCTGTCAAACCAATACTATGCATAATTTATCACACAATTTACTGTTACAGTAAACAAAGGATGCCAAGCCCATCTCACTAATGGCTAATGGTGTGTGTGTCTGTGTGTGTATGTGTATGTGTTTATGACAGAGAAAGAGCATTAGAGTGTAATAAAGCTGAGAGTGAGTGCTGCAGGAATAAGCCCTTGAACCTGATAATGAGTTAGCATTTCTGCATATCCGGTTCCCTTTTAATTTTAAGTCATCAGGTTATTTGATGTGTTTTTGGCTTGTTGCCTGAATAAACTTATGTGATTAACATAAACATATGAGATAGTTTCACATTTTGCTCCACAACATAAATACGTAAGAAATTACTGCAATTGTTATTTTTTGAATAGCCTTGGTTGTTTATTTATTGTCTTTTTAACGCTTTTACTTCTGGCAATTGAATTTGCGCTCCAAACATCTCATCACACTTATCTTGATTTTCATAATCTTTTGTTTGCCACAGAGCCTATGCGGTACAAAAATCCAATGGAAAGCTCCCTATCGTGAACAGGGAAAGGTCACCCAAAAAAAATACATCATCCCTGCAGCACTATGTGTGATCCTAAGGGTCATGGGTGTGTGTGTGTGTGTGTGTGTGTGTGTGTGTGTGTGTGTGTGTGTGTGTGTGTGTGTGTGTGTGTGTGTGTGTGTGTGTGTGTGTGTGTGTGTGTGTGTGTGTGTGTGTGTGTGTGACGTTGTGAGTACCTGAAGCTCCCAGAAGATGCTGCGGGTGTGTCTATGATAGTACTGTCTCAGAGGGATATATTCAACTCCAGCGGTGTCCTTTTTAAGGTAGCTATCCACGTGTTTGAAGAACCAGGGTTTAAAGTGCAGGCCGATTCTATTAATCTGAAGTAAGAGAAAAAAAAGGAAGGTTAAATGTCATAAAACATGTGAAAATGAGTCAAATTAATGCTAACAAACACCTTACCTTATCAGGCTCAGCGTGGTCTGTCATGGTTCCAGTCATGATGACAGCGCTATCCAGAGAGTACTGGAGGCCCTCTACAAACGTGTTCTGCTTGTTCTCCGATGCTTCAGTGAAGCGTTTACAGATGTTCTCCAGGCCTCTGACCGGCTCATAGCTCAGCTTCACCCAGGCTTTAGCGGGGACTATTTTAATCTCAGCTGCAACCAGGAACCCCAGAGTCCCACAGGACCAGGGGACGGCGTGGAACAGGTCCGGGTTTTCCTCCTATGTGACAGAACAATGCCGTTTTTGACAACAAACTGTTCACATGTCTATGGTACATTTGTGGTTATGAATGTGGTCTCGGCTCTCTGGGATTCTAATGTTACGCCAAGCATGATGGCTTTGACAAAACCATTAGCAGACCTCACAGCATCATTGTTAGGTTAGGGACTGGCTGAGAATTATTAGTGGAAGTAAGGGTCAGAAAAGGGGACAGCAGTTATGTCCTTTTATTTTATTTTTGGTGAGGGGAGGGCAAGAAACAGTCTTTCACTTTTTTCATGCTCAAGATGTCTTCCATTCAAGCATTTTTACAGGGTTCACTGTAACAGAATGATTTAATATGAGAAACATGCCAATGGCGTGTTCATATGACACAGGAAGAAAGCTTAATAACAAACAGCACAGAACAAAATGAAACCCAGTGAGTATTTTCAGGAGTCAATAGTTAATATGTAAAATTGTATTTTGGTGATTTTTTGCCACGACGAACCAATGATTATATATAACAACAATTAAAAGTAACGTTCCTGCTAAAGAAGCAGATAATTATGTGGTGATGGTGATGTTACCAAGGTGACCTGGTTGAATGTGAGCCTTCTGGCAGCAGTCAAATCATGCTTGCTTATGAAGGTTAACTAACTGACTGAAATGGCATTTAAGTATCCAAGTGGGAGCCATGATAAGATCTGATTAAATTCTCTTAAAGCCAATAAAAGGTGGTTTAATGTTTCCTTTTTTCTTTTCTTTAGCCCTAGGATACATTGGAACGTAAGGAAAAGCGATCATGCCCAAAATTCCTTGTGGCAGCAACATTTAAAGTGACACTATTTGGTTGTTCAGGAAAACAAACATCAACAAGGATCATGATATATTTTCAAGATGCACTTTTAGTAGTTCATCTTCTGAGCATGTAGTTTCAACATGGCAGACCCACGTCAAAAGCTAATTCTGTCGCATAACTATATATCCTAACAGTGTAAGTACCGTCAAGGAAAATAAGTCCGTAAAAGACATAGGACATAAGTCTTGTGTCTTTCTACTGCAGCCCTGGAGTCAGAAGTACATCCAACACACTCAATACTCACCTCAGTGCAGCGTACTAAGCTGCCATCAGCTAGAACCAGTTCAAATGCGACACAGATGTGCTGAAACAGCCCGTAAATGTGAGAGGATGACTCAATGCCTGTACCCATCACCAAACCACCTGAGAGAGGAGAGAGAATAAAATATTTATTCTTGGTAATTCAATATCTAGCCAGGTGAGAAGCAACAGCAGGCAAACACAAAAGCAGAGACTAGCGTAGCTGGCTGGGATTGAGTTTGTACAGTATGTGCCTGGTTGAACATCAGGATAAATGAATGTACCGCAGCCTGATGGGAAAACATTAGATTGTTGATGCACAGTTTATAGCATCAGGAAATCCATTATGAAACTCGATCCAGGGGTGCTTCAAAAGCTGCAGCCATTTCCTCCCAGTTTCATCTTTGAGCGACAGCATCAATCCTCTAACACGATTAGAGAAGTCGCTGCTGCTCTAAACAGGATGCAGTGATTGATGGAGGAGATGCAGCATCTGCCTCACGGAACAATGAGCGGTGGAAATCATCAGAGCCTCTATTTATAGAAACCAGAGATCACAGATGATGCCGCTCTCTGATGGTTCTCCAGAAAATAAGTCACAGTTTATAAATAACATACCCACAGTGAGGTCATCGAGCTCGGGCAGCACTGGCAGTGTCCAGCCAATCGAGGTGAGCAGAGCGGTCACCTGACCCATGTTGGCCAGCGGCTCAACCCTCACCACCTAAAAAACAAAGATCACTTTGAGTAAAGAAAACCCCATCAGGCTGACAAGAAAACATCTAGCCATGTTCATTTTAAAAGTGAATAATTACAATATTTGTTTTGTTCATACTGTCCTCCCCCCCCAAAAAGAAAGAATATATTGTATAAAAAATGACTACTAAAAAAGTGACTGTTTCACAACGTGCACCTGTCGTAGATAAGCTACTGTTGGAGAAAATACTGTTGTCTCCTCTTTGGGTTTGTTTTAATGCACTGATATCATGTGTGATTCTGAACTGTGTACGACCTTGCAGCTGCCTCTTTATGATAGGAGGAGGCAGGGCATTTCAGGTTGTTGATCTTTATGAGGAGACAGACACATACTTGTTGTCTCCTACATATCTAATTTCTATGAGGCGTGAAGGAAGTCCAGAAGACGTTACAGATGACCCGACGCTTTTCCGACACGCGCGGCTGATATTAGCGCCACCTCGATTTACGACTTTGTTGTTATCTCCTGTATTTTGGACTATATAAGCCTGATGTTTTTTCCTGCTCCGTTGAGCAACATACCCCATGTGTGTGAGTTAACCCATATGCTTTGTATGTGATTTAACTCTGCTCCTTGCAAGAATAAATTAGTACCTGATTATTGATTCTCAACCTGGTGTCGAGTGATATTTTCCTAACAGCTACCCTACAACAAAGATGATGTCGTTTTTAGAAACCATTAGCAAATAACTTATTCTGTTGTTTAGGAAAATTGACGTTTTGATCCTTTCTATTGGTTATTAATAAAAACACTGGTTAAATGCTGAGATCTGGGAACATGGTATCAATAATTTACAGAAAATGTATGTGGCCAAAAACAGATGAAGTCGGACAACCTCAGAGGTTTAAAACAAACCCCCAGGCTAGCCAAATGTATTTTGGAAGAAAATAGTAGAATACTTTAAAAGGATTAGGCAGAGCATCCCTTCAAATTAAGTTTTGCGTCCTTGTCTTTATTGTTCAGTTAAGGTGACGTCCCTCTTTGTGTGAGTGGCTTCTTGCTATACTGAAGCAAAGTGGAGCTTTGAGTTAGTAGATGTTTAGCAGATATAATGTTTACCATGTTCACCATTCAACAGTTTAGCAGTGTTAGCATGCTGACGTTAGACACACAAATTCTGTCGAATCCTCCTACCTGCTTCTTGGTGTCCACCTCCAGAATATCCATCATGTTGATCATGATGTTTTTGTGTGTTTTCTTGTACTTCCCAACTCTGAGAGAAACTGTGAGCCAGCCGGGGCGACCTGTACACATGTATTTCTTACTGCCGTCCTTCTTCCACTCGCGCACCTGAAATGTGTCATAAGACATGAAACAGAGACAAACACATTATAGGGGATACACAGCATTACCAATATTTTGTGACAGCCATAGCTCTCAGTGTTTAATAAGAGAGCATTACGGCCCTGTATATTGGTGTTAAATAAATCAAATGAATAAATCAAATGTTTGTTACGATAATTTAGTACAAGCATGTTCAAACTAAATGTTTGATACTGTATTAGAAGTAATACATCCTCCAGTTGCATAAAAGCAGGTCATGAAACACTTGTTGTGTAATAATTGATTGATAAGATAACAGAGATAAAGCCATGGATTCTTACATCACAATGCCCTGCCAACAAAGTGTCCTAGCTTCCATATATCTAACATAATTGAAAACAGTCTATCATATTTTAAACACTATAAACCCCTGTTGAACATGCCAATGATACTCCTAATTTAGATTAACAAATACCACTATACATTACTGGTATAGTATTACAATGTTATGGGGTATACTTGTCTATTCGTCACCTTGTCCAGCTTTGTGGTCCTTACTAGCTGCAGTCTTTATTAGTGAGAGCAATGCTTGACCAATAAAGGTGATTAAGAAAACTCAGTTTAGGTAATTTAATTGAATCTCTGTTGCTGTAACCTCCCGTGACTTTTGGTGTTTTTTTCTTTTTTCAAAACCACTGATAACACATATCCTTGTTGCCAGTGGTGGAATGCAAAATACATTAACTCAAGTTTTGTACTGAAGTACTGTTTTTGACACAATTGTATTTCCATGTTACGCTTCATTCTACTCCACTTCATTTTGGAGGCAAATATTGTACTTTTTACTGTTCTGCATTTATTTAGCACCCATACTTTCTATCTACGTTTTATACATATACACACCTTTTTCTTTTGATAGTTGAAGTAAATATTACTGATGATATTTCTGTACTTCTAATTGAGTCAATTAAGAGACAATAAGCCAATTCAGGACTGTGACCTGTAATGGAATATGTTAAGACCATAGTAATGATTATTTTACCACACGCACCTGTGCACAAACACACAGTCACAGAGGATGAGACGGCTCACCTGTCTCTGGATGTCTCTCACTCGCTGGTCGTGCAGTTTGGGCGCAGAGCACATCTTGAAAATAAGCCATACCCGCACATAGTAATACACATCAAATATAACGGAGAGCGGCAGCAGGAACAGACACACAAATATCCACCTCTGGTGAACGATCACGTAATCTAGACCTTTGACTTTGATCCACAGCAGAAAAAGAACGACCAGACCGGCTAAATACAAAAGCGGATCCATCGTTTCTGGAGAGATCAGATCCAAAGGTGCACGGTCTCTAAACTAAAAGTATCTGGCTCACTTTTTAATTAAACTACCGCTAACCGCAGGGAAATGCATGTGGGGAAACTCTGCATAGATTCCTGATCGCCCCTTCTCTGCGATAGGTGAGCGATTCTAGGTGGGCGGTCAGCCACTCTCCTGCTCAACACTGATTGGTTAGGATGGCAAAAGAGGCGGGACCGGGTGCCAACGTTCCACTCTCATTGGTCTAACAAGTGACTGTGGGATATTTAGAGCGGTAGCCTTTCTGAAATGTAACCAATCATAAAGCAGCGAGGCTGTCACACCATGCACCATGCCTGTCCCTTACGGCTCTGTTACAACACAATGCCCATATCAGCCAGTCTGACGAGTAGAGATAGAAGTTTTAACACTGACGAAGCTTACTCTAACATATACAGTAAACAATTATTCGACCCCATCATTATTTGCAAGGGCCCCCCACTCTCTGATACTGGCACAACATCCCCGCTTTTAATTATCTCCTTAAAACCCATTGTAAATGTGCTTTCAATGGATTTGGGACTTGAATTACCTCTTAAAACATATTTATATGCAAATGCATTCTCTTAATCTTCTTTTATTTTATCAAAATAGTTGAATTTTTTTTTTTTAAACAGCATTTCAGAAAACGATACAGCATTTCACAAAACACTACAGCATTTCACAAAACACCACAGCATTTCAGAAAACACTACAGCATTTCACAAAACACCACCGCATTTCACAAAACACCACAGCATTTGAGAAAACACAGCATTTCACAAAACACCACAGCATTTCACAAAACACCACAGCATTTCACAAAACACCACCGCATTTCACAAAACATTACAGCATTTCACAAAACACTACCGCAGTGCCCGTTTCGAGTGGGTCGCAGATGTGTGAGTGAAGAATTTTTTTTTGAAAAAGAACATTTCTTTTTTTTTTTTGGGAAAAAGTCACACTTTTATTTTGAAGGCTCGATTTTCTAACGCTGTGCATGCAGTAGGCGTTGGACTGGAAGTACCGGAGACCATAAACGGGTTTGAAAACTTCTGTCACGTAGTGATCATCTTCTAAAACATCTTTGCTGATGTTTTTTCGAGTCTTCTGGCCAATCAGAATCAAGATTGTTGCCGGAAGTCCCCACGGAAAATAACTTTGCGGTATAACTATTCTTTATACATCCATGGGTACAATTTCAGATACAAATGAACACAGGTCACAGAACAATGGGAGCTATCTACCCTTATCCACAATTTAAAGTAAGTCACACAGACTATCTCCTCTTTGCTCTTCTCTCTGTGTGGAGCAGCAAGTTCAGCTGTCAGAACAAAGTGAAAAACAAACAATGGCACAAAATATTATGAATATGTCGGGTAGTAATAGATTTATTTATTTTCTTCTCAGAGTGTACCAGAATGCGTATATGTTAGTAGGCTATTTCTAAAAATCTCCTGGGGGAGAATCCCCCCAGACCCCCCTTCTGGGGTTGGGTTTTCAGCATCTGCCTTTTTATGCTATACAGTTCAGCTTTGATTCCATCATCTCATTAAACCTTTTTTAAAAGCATTCTTTAGTTTTGTGAAGGGATATATGCACTGTACTTCACTTTAATTAATAATGTATGCTGAAAAGCGTATTACAGCACGATTTTTTGTTGAATAGATTTGAGTGGTTCAAAATTTCGGGTCGCGATTTATTGACAAAGGAAGAAGTGGGTCCCGAGGCCTGACCAGTTCAGAACCACTGCACTACAGCATTTCACAAAACGCCACAGCATTTCACAAAACACCACAGCATTTCAACTTATACGGAAAGGGTATTCCTTTGGGAAGAACACTTCTTGTTTGTGATTGGACAGAGCCAGCCAGAGAAGCACTGCTGTGATTGGATGTTTTTGCTGCAAGTAAAAAAATGACGCTTCGTGATTGGTCAGCACCCGACAGCGCAACATGTCCCAAAACATCAGCCGTTATCTGTTAGCACACAGAGCTCACAGCTCCTCATATCTGTTCAGAAACTGGACAAAAGTTAAACATGAACAAACCACAGATTGTCTATGTCAAGGTGAATACAGTCGCTGCTTTATTTATGTCTTATACCGTTGTTGTGAGTTTGGACGGAGCAGCTACAGGTTAGTTTATCCTGATCGATCCGATCTCCATTCAGAAAACACACATTTTAAAAGGTTTTTCGCCTGCCGTCTTGTCTGCATACTTGTCAAAGCATTAATTCATGATTTTTACTAACTGGTATCAGTATGTTGTCGGCTGCAGACCAATCACGAAGCGTCATTTCTTGACTGGCAGCAAAAACAACCAATCACAGCAGTGCTTCTCTGGCTGGCTCTGTCCAATCAAACAAGAAGTGTCCGGCAGTGGCTCAGTCAGTAGGGGCTTGGACTGGGAGCCGTAGGGTCGCTGGTTCAAGTCCCCGACCAGACCTAAATATGGAGTGTGGACTTCTACTTGGAGAGGTCCCAGTTCACCTCCTGCCCTGCCGTGGTGCCCTTGAGCAAGGCACCGGACACCCCCCTTCCCCCCCACTCCCATTGCTCCCCGGGCGCTGTACAATAGCTGCCCACTGCTCCTAGTACTAGACTCCTTGTACTAGGATGGGTTAAAAGCAGAGGCCAAATTTCACTGTGTGTGCTGTGTGCTCTGCATGTGTGACCATTAAAGAGGGTTTCATCCCTCCTATTCTAATTTTTTTTTTTTCTTCTACTCCCTAAAGGAATATCCTTTCCGTATAAGTTGAAATGCTGTGGTGTTTTGTGAAATGCTGTATAGTTTTCTGAAATGCTGTGGTGTTTTCTCAAATGCTGTATCGTTTTCTCAAATGCTGTGGTGTTTTCTGAAATGCTGTGGCGTTTTCTCAAATGCTGTATCGTTTCTGAAATGCTGTGGTGTTTTCTCAAATGCTGTGGCGTTTTCTGAAATGCTGTGGTGTTTTCTGAAATGCTGTATTGTTTTCTGAAATGCTGTGGCGTTTTGTGAAATGCTGTAGCGTTTTCTGAAATGCTGTGGTGTTTTCTGAAATGCTGTAGCGTTTTCTGAAATGCTGTGGTGTTTTGTGAAATGCTGTGGTGTTTCCTGAAATGCTGTAGTGTTTTGGGAAATGCTGTGGTGTTTCCTGAAATGCTGTAGTGTTTTGTGAAAGGCTGTGGTGTTTCCTGAAATGCTGTGGTGTTTTCTGAAATGCTGTTTTGACTTGCACTTCAGGGTCACCGTAAGTTGTTGATAGCTGTTTCCCCTACCATTTCAGTTGTGTCTTGGAAAATAACTTTGTTTTAAAAAGTTATATATGAATAAAGAATATTATCAATACTATATTACCATCACAATACCATTCTTAGTATCATATACAATACATATAATCACAATCAGCTGTTTTGGGGTTTTATTATCAACAACAAACTCATGGCAGGGCTGTAGTCCACGTTTTAAAATACTGAGATCATTAATCGTCCCTGATCCCCCTAAAAGGAGAAGTAAAGGGATTTTTTAGTTTTTTAGTTTGACCTGGACCTGAGAACTTTTTGTTGGCCAGACTGAAATATCCCAACAACTATTGGATGGATATTGGTATAATCTTGGTTAGGAAATCCATGTTCCCCTCAGGTTGAATAGTTACCTTGGTGATCATCTGACTTTTCATTAGCACCACCATCATCAGATAAAATTGTGATTGTCCAATACTTTGTTTTAGCTTAATGCCTGCAAACCTACAGACCTTCCCACCAGCCTCAGCTGTGCTTTGTGTGTAGTGCCAATTTGCAAATGCAATTAAAAGCAAACCCACTAAACATCATCATTTATGAGTCAATTAGCCCATTTGGTCAACAAAAAGGAACACATTGTATCTGTCATCAGCCTGCAAATAAACTCAACTTCCAACAAGTCCACTCTATTTGGATTTTGTAACCTAACACAAGACTACAAAAACATCTTATTTTGTTAAATTATGTAAGCCAAAATGCCACTCTCTTTCATATCCAGTGTCCATTTATGTTTAGAAAAATTGTTGTCACACACACACACACACACACACACACACACACACACACACACACACACACACACACACACACAGACACACAGACACACACACACACACACACACACACACACACACACACACACACACACACACACACACACACACACACACACACACACACACGGAGGGCTAAAGTATACTCTTCAGACACATTAGACAGAGGGAGGGTGGGGCGCCAGTAAAGATTTCTTAATGGGCTCTGACGTCCTCTCGTCCATCTGCCTTGATGATAAACACAGCTGGTCCATTTTATCCTGATGCGCATCACCGCCTTCTCCGTCTTATTTTTCTTTATTTACCATCAAACCATTAATTTAACTTTTCATCGCAGGAGCATAACATCTACAGAGTGAGGACTAACACGTTCATGTTTTTTTCCAAAAGAATGGGATATGGAAATTATGGGAACAAATAAGTAACATTTAATTTCACCTTTCCATTACCGGACTTCAGTGGAGTAAATCAGTCGGATGTGTGGTCAGAGCGCATGGGGAGCGCACTCCGTGGGACTGTTTGTGCGTCAGTGACACTCTCCATCCGGTCACAGCCCTAACCCTAACCCCAAACAGCCACTGTCCTGGAGGAGGATGCCTTCCTTGCACCACGGAGCAATCTTCGTAGGAGCCTTCCTCATTGTGACCGGGGGCTCCACAGCCTTCCTGGCCTCGTCCCAGAGCCGCCTGCAGGCTTTCTCCCTGTGCTGCGTGGTGCTGGGGGTGGTCATGCTCATCCTGGGACTATTCTGGGCTATGAACAGCAAAAGTGCCGCAAACTACAACCACCGAGAGTTCGACCCAGAGTGCCCACATTATCCATTCAACGACTACCCCAACTTCGGCAGCAATGCCCTCTTCTCACCCCCAGGGAGCCGCTTCCCAGAATCCCAGTCGGTGTTTCTGCCCAGGTCGGTGAAAACAAATATCAGTTTACATAGTATGTTTACAGTTCAGTATTTGTCAGTAAGACTTATTGTATCATGAAACCAGAAAATAAGACTCCAAGTATATATTTTAGTGTATTACATGGCTTTTTTTTTTTAAAGCTGTAACCAAACTAATATATTTTATGATTGCCATAAACACTATTACTGTCCACTTTGCCATGTTGTCTCATTAATTCTCCCTGTTGCAACTCTGTATCAGGTTCAGTTAAAGGGTCGTTTTGAGATGGAGTTATTCATAATTGTATACAAAATACAGAGGGTTGCACACAGAAACAAGTGCACCTTTTCAAGAGATATGCTCACTTTAAATTACTTTATTTTTCCTGTTTTTACGTTAAAAAACAATATATAAACATTCAAACCTGGAAGAAAAAAAAGCCATCTTGATTTCCGCATGCAGGCCATGCTCAGCCGTGCATGACACAGTCCTTTATTGGCAGGATCCCATTGAAACAACAGGCAAGATACACAATAATCTAAATATAGTCACAACTAAAAGAAAGTTAAAGAAATCTATTGAAATGTTTGAAAATGCATTTATTGTCTTTCTTGACATTTATTTGATGAGAAACTTCCCTCTACTCTCTACAAGACTTATGGAAATAGAGCCAGCACCCTGTTAGCCTAGCTTAGCATAAAGACTGGAGACCACATGGAAATCAGCTGGCTCAATAAAAAATCTAAATAACAATTACAGTTTGGGGAGGTTATGCATCAGTCTATGGTTGGGTGTGTTTGAAGTTGAATATGCCACTTACTAAGGCTTTATTGGAAATAATAATAATAATAATAATGGCATTGCAAAACATATCATGATAAAGGTCTTACCATTCAATATATTGCAGACTAAAAAGCACATTACTTTTGTTTATGGCTGTAATTCAAAAGCTTTTCATGATACTGCACAATATCCATATAGTAATAATAGTTTCCATAATATCCATGGGAAACCTACACCCTGTATTTGGCATCAAACACTACACATAGAACAAGACTCCCTCTGCTAACTGACATATGATCTCTACTGCTGTTTGTGTTTATTCACAAGTTTTTTCTCACTGCCACTGTTTTCTTGAGTGCAGGACAATGGAGCACCACAGACATGGTGCTCGAGGGGAGGAATTCGATTACCCTCCCATGGACCCTGTTGGTTTCAGCCCATCGCCTCGCCCTCCTCCGTGGCAGGAGCCCCCCCCTCCCTATGAGGTGGCCATCAAGACCACATGCAGCTCCACACACCTGCGACGTGCATACTCAGACACACACCTGGCATCAGAGCCCCTGTTTGGACGGTCGAGAGAGATCAGCTTTGAAGTGTGAAGCTGGATAATACGGACAGTGAAAAATAAAGAGCCATCAGACGGAGGCTTTCACTCAGACTCTGCAAAAGCTGCCTTCTGACAGAAACAAACTTTATCAAATACTTGAAGCATGCTTCTTCCTGATGTTGACCAGTGGGTCCTAGCATGCTTTACCTAACTTATCTCTAATTAAAATGCAGGTGTAAATGCATATTTTAATGCTGAAATGAAAGGTACATCATACCAAATACAGCCTTAGAAGCCCAAAACAAAGCACCAAATATAAATGTAAAAGCACATACGTTCTGGACAGTTTTATCAAGTCACAGTTGTTTTTAGCCTTTACGCTAAACCAGGGGTCGGCAACCTTTTTGATATGAAGTGCCATTAAAATAAAAAATTGTTATCGGCGTGCCAACGATCGAGAATTATCAACGGGGGGGGGGGGGGGGGGGGGGGGGGGGGGGGGGGGGGGGGGGGGTGGAGGAACTTGACGCTGGTGAACTATCAACAGGAGGGCGGGGGGAGCCTCGCTGCGCGGAAGCAGTGTGTGTGTGTGTGTGTACCTGTCAGCACAACTTACATGATGCCATTTAAATAATTGGTTTAAACGGCATAATAATAAGGACGATCGTCCGTTCTGTGATTCTCCAGAACACACATGTTATGATATTAGGGTCATGCAGAGTGAGATGAGATCGCTGTCCCTTTAAGAGAGAGAGAGAGGGGTGTGGCGTGTGCATGTGTGTGTGGATGGTAGAGCGACAGTGAGCGAGCGTGTGTATGTTTCTGGAAGTGAAACGAGGCAGCAGAAAAACAGAGGTCTGTGATGTATTTTGTGAAACAGAAGAACAGCTAAATAAATGCAACGGCCTCCCAAGAAGAGCTCGCCTCTCTCCAGTCATTTAAGCTAAAGTGGGTTATTGAACCTGAAGCTTGTTGCTTCTGCCCTCCTCGACTACGGTCTGGGAGCCGACAGGAAAGTTCAACACACAGATGGCCAGTCCGCCCCTTTGTAGCATATTATTTCAATGAGAGATGAGCAGATCGCCACTGGGCTTTCAACTAAAGACACAGCCACGCAAAAACTGTGGCATTTGTAAAGCTCCTTATGGGTACTGCAATGTGTGAAGTGCTTTCCTCTGTGGTGAAACGATCAGCCCTGCACCACGGAGGAAAGCGGCAGAAAGTCACCTGGAGTTAAACAGAGCGGGGCTGCGCTGCGTGCATGGCTTCCTTCTGCAGGTAACGGGGAGATGCGCTCTGGCGGCGGTCTCGTTCAGGATCCGAAAATACAATTTAAATATTTTGCACATTTATTCGACTTATTCCTAGTGTGCCACTGGTTACGGTGCCGCGTGCCAATGTTGGCACGCGTGCCAGGGGTTGCCGACCCCTGCGCTAAACTATCCAGACCAGACACCTCAGGTAGGGTCATATCTATTCACACCAAAGAACATTTATTCAACAAACAGTGGCAATGTTACCTGACTCAGTGCAGCAGATATTTTACACATAAGAACAAAAATACATTTTGATCAGCAGTGTAGAAAAAATAAATGGATAACGCCAATGATTGTGTTCTTTTTCTATAATCTTACCAAACCTTTAATCACTTATGTGATTAGGTATTATGTGATTGGATCAGGATTTCTTGAAAGACACATTGCTGTTGAGTTTTTCATGTATTTTTGTGGCGCTTTGAGAACCACAAGCCTAGTGCCATTTAGATCTAATATATTGGAGAGAAGGCAGACATCTTAACTCCTGATTACTCCCACCAAAACAATCTAGATTATTAAATAGCAGTAAAGTTACAGATGTCTTATTTTAACTGTTCTTTAAATTGAAACTGATAAAGACCTGCGCTTTATTTTAGGTTGTCTGCCACGGTAACAGAAGCACACAGGAAATCCAGGATTTCCATTCATTTTAGAATAATCCTTCTTTCTGGGATCCCGAGTTGACCACAGAGGACCGTTTTCTTATAGTTTTCCTCGTCCATCAAACTAAGAAGTGTTCCATCTTTTTCCCATCAGGACTAACACACACAGGATGGATATGAATATAATTCACTTTCGGAAAAAAGCACCCCGGTAGACGTTTGCTTGCCACGCATGTCAGCTATTCATCAGCTTGTTGAAAGCAGAGGGAACAATGACTCATCTGATCATGAGTTTGTTTCACCGCTCACTAGATCACTGACAACACGGCCTGACCTTTAAGCAACCACAGAATCACTCTGAATGTGCAGAATCATTTGAACCCTTAAACTTGATTAGAGAAGATACTTAATCGTAAGAAAAAGCATTAATTAGATTTAAAAAATGTTGGCATGAGACCTACAGATGTTAGTGAAATAAGTTGTCTCCTATCTCCTAAATCCTGCATATCAGCGAGCTGCCACCATGATGGAAAACTATAATAGCTTTGACAAAATCATGCACCAAATTAATATACTGTAGGGATTAACAAATCTTAATAAAAAATAGTAACATAACTAACAGGGTATCAACTATCATGGATGCATAACTAATGCTTGTGAAGCATCTTCTAAGTGAATTCCATGCCGTAATGAAATTAACTAAATGTTATTTATAAAATTGCACAAAACCCATTATTGTAAATCATGTAAAAGATGGAAACACAAGATTGTTGTGTGCATATTTCCCTTTTTTTACCCGACTGGTTAGGTTGTTTTATGTATATTTCCAAAATATGAAGTTTGTCTAAAATCTATAGAATTAAATATAGTATGTGTTAAATGTCAGCTCACACATATTTGTTATACTGAATTAACTGTGCGAAGAAAAGTCTCACAGCCTTCATCACCTCTGAAATAAGATCCTGCACTGAATTGATGACCACAATTACACTGTTGTGAGCACAAGGACGACTGACTTCAGCTGCTCTGAAGGACACACGGTTACTTCTGAATATGCATGCTTCTATGAATGATGGTTTTAATCTCTGAAAAGGTATCTAAAGGGATAATTTTGCACCATGTTTTTAATGTGTGTGTATTTGCCTTTTATGTTAATAAAATGCACTTGAAAAATACATTAAATAAAGAAACAATGATCCTATTGTACTATACATTTTTGTCTCACCTAATTGTTCTATTCAAAATAATTTTGTCTTTGTGTTTTTAAGTTCTGTTTCAGAATATCAAGAATCTACCGTGAGAAATCAAGATAAGCTGCTACATTTGACTCATGATAACTGATGGTCATTAAGCCTTTTTCCGCTCTGTTCTCAGATATAGTCCCTAGCCGATGCTAAATCGGGCCAGGGGCGTAAAGTGGAGGGGGGGGGGGGGGGATAGCCTTCCCCACTTCCTGGGCCCCTTGCTTGGACCACATCCGTCTGAGCAAATATTGGATTTTGCAGTAAGATGAAATAAAATGTCATCAATACATGTTGTCATTTCAGACTATCTAAAGATAGCTCATAGTGAGAAAATACTCCAACGGCAAGCATACATATAAGGAGAAAACAGCTTTTGCCACAAAGACAGCAACAAGTACTCTTTTGAAGTAATGAAAATGTTGAGGGGGGCATTGTATGCCTCTGGCCAGATTTGGGGTCGCAGTGTTTTCCCATTTTAAGATGGTCTCACGTTTAGTTTAGTTGCCTCTTAATGTATTTTATTGAATGATCAAAGAATATCCATGGAAGACAAGCAAAACACACAAAAGTATCTATCTGTCTATCTATCCATCCATCTATCTATCTATCCATCCATCCATCCATCTACCTATCTGAAAGCGACCCCTGCCGTTTGGTAATGGTATATTCTAGTGAATAGCGGGATACCCCTCCAGGGATTGGCATATGAACCATTTGGCACCAGTCTCTTTTCCATCTTAGTGCTTCTGCAGTGAAGCTCTTCCTGCTCCACCCTCAGCAGAGCTCAAGCACACACACACACACACACACACACACACACACACACACACACACACACACACACACACACACACACACACACACACACACACACACACACACACACACACACACACTGAGTTTATCAGCTCATATATTACTGGGACTATATTTCTCTCCTTGTGCAAACAGCTTGCCCAAACAGAAGCAAAGTGATAATGTTCAGACCGCGCGCTCGCCCTGCCCTCCATTCCTCGTCACTGGAAGCCCTTCCTCATAAAATCCCTTCCTCACAGTCACAATACACGGCTCTGCTGCTGCTGCCAGATGAAAACCCAACAGCGCCAGGCCCACATGCGACGTCAACTCCTTTTTGGTGCTGTAACCCCACCCCAAAAACCGGATATGATTCTTCCGCGGGGAGATAAATAAAAACAACAGAGGAGCAGATAAAGAGACACGCGCGGCGGAGGGACACACACGGACTGAAGCGGAGTTAAGCGTGTTTGCGCCAGAGTTTTTCCAGGACACCATATGGACATTGTGAGCGGGATTAAAGTTGATGAAGAGGAGAAAAGAGATGATTAATCTTTCAGTCCTCACAGACTCTTCCTATCAGGTAGAGAGAGGATCGATACCGCACCCCGCTCTCACACGGGGATTTACGTGTTGCGTGTTTTCCCCCCTGGTGGCAGTTTCCTTCTGCTTCCTCTTCCTCTTCCTCTTCCATCCACACACACACACACACACACACACACACACACACACACACACACACACACACACACACACACACACACACACACACACACACACACACACACACACACACACACACACTCCTAGTAGTTTTGGATGCTGTGTATTTGATCCTGCCTGTTTGCCTTAATAACCTATAGCATTCATTTAACAATGTATTTAATAAACAGTAGCCTATGTTATTTTTTAAATAGTTGTTTTAATTTCTTTTTTTGTTATGTCTTAAATATATGTATGTTGAATTGTTGGAGGAGCCTGAGACTCTTTCATTGCTATAAGTACACTGTAGTTACTTACATATATTAAAGCCTTTGAATCTTGAATCTCTCCTGTCTCTCCTGCAGACTGACTGCTGAGGTGGAGGTGAAGCAGGAAAAGTGAATTCCTTAAAGGCAGGGGCTCTGGAGATGCCTCTCCCCCAGGGAATGCTGCTCTGCCTGGGCATCCTAATGATGGCTGTTGGGGGGGTCATGGCCCTGTGCTTGGGTCTGCCCCACCAGTCGGCCCCACTGTTTGGGGTGGGTCTGTTCCTGGGCCTGGGGGGCGTGGCCCTGCTGATCAGTGGACTCTGCATGGCCATGAAGAATCTGCAGGTGGCGGTGCCCGGACACTTCCTCCTGCACCCCCGCACAGGCAGGCGCTTCAGCCCCCAGCAGGCCCTGGCTATTCAAAGGTACACATGCACAGAGGAACATGCACAAAGCCTGTATGACAGAAGTAGGCAGGTCCAAAGTTATTAAAGACTTTCATTTTTGGGTTTTAAGACAGTTTGTGTGCGTGAATGTATACCAAATGTCATGGTTATCCATCCTATAGATGATGAGATAGTTCACTTAAAACCAAACATGTCAACCTGATGTTGGAGCTGGAAAGAAATCACCAAAGTGGGTAGGATTAATTCTCTGGGAACGCTAAATGTTTGTACTATATTTTGTTGTAATCCATTCTATCATTGCTGACATATTTCTGTCTGGTGAAGAGGGACAGAGGACAACAAACAGAAATCCCATTCTTTCTATAGATAAACAAACTGTGCTTTTGTAAACATGTAAGCGAAGAACTTTCCAGGCTTCCCTCGTGTTTTTTAAGATAAATAAACGAGCATTCAGACAAATACCAGAACACACCATCCAGGGAGCTGAGCTGACAAACAGTCTTGTTGTTGAACAGATCTCTTGGACACATCCCCAAATTATTAGTTATAGTGCGGAGTTTGCCAAAGAGCAGTGGACCACTTTAGGAAATGAACAACACTGAACTTGTGAAACTGAGAATTGGCACGAAACACATTTTCAGATTTTGGACTGATTAGAATAATAGGTCATGGAGAAAACAGCCGACACACATTCATGTGGCAGACAGATTCCCCATGGCATTATCTGAGGTAATCTACGATAGCCAGCAAATGTATAAAAGACATGCTCTGTTCATTGTCGAGCACCGAGGAAGAGCGACGCCAGGAGCAACATCCATCATGAAGGCTTTTTCTACCTCCAGACACTCACAGAACTATATCTAAACCTACATGATAAATGTGCGACTGTGTGCAGTTCAATCTTTCTCATTAGAGAATGATGAAAGCAAATCATCATAGGGGAATAATATGCAAAAAGCAGAATGCATTTTTGAAGGAAATGTGAGATGAATGCTGTTACGTGAAATGTATACTGGAAAAGTTTTGAGTCAAGAGGCAGCAGGAGTAATTCAGGACAAGTATGGAGCTCTTATGTAATGTAAGTTGGAAAAAAGTTGAAGTTGTGGGTGTAAAAGTTATCACTGAAACTAATGGATAATTTAAAGGCTGACATGAGTTTATGTGTAAGATAAAGTATGGTTACTAAAAAAAGTTCTCTATCAATTTAAGTTTAAACGCTGAAAGGAGTTGAAGTGAGATGAAAAAAAAGCCACTGTAAGAAGTCGACTGTAATTTCAAGTGTAAATGCTGTTTTATCACTTTATGCACTTAAAGTTTAAGATAAAAGAGAATGAAATTGACTGTAAACTGAATCGCTACATGGTTTGAAGTATAATTAGACACAGTGTATAGTCACACACAGGAGTTGACTGCTGGTTAAAGTATATGGAGTGATAAAAGTTCAATGTAAACACTGAAAGGAGGTGAAGTTGTAGTTCAAGTGTTAAGCACTGAAACACAGTTTAATACACCTGCCATTGCCTGTATTACACTCTCTCTCTGTGTACCTTCAGGAGGTTGGACCGGATTCGTCGAGAGATGTCAGAGGACTCAGTATGCAGCAGGGCACCAGAGCCCGAACCCCCCCTCCCATCCACCCCCCCGCCCTGGACTATGGAGCCGCCTCCATCCTACGACACCGTGATGAAGAGCCAGGAGCACAGCGAGCAGCTTTAACCACTCGGTGGACATATTTACTCTATTGTTGCCTTTTGTCTTAGGATCTCAGTGGGAACCTTATACGTTAACAGTGCTATGGATGAACATGAGGCCTCTTCTGTGCCTTAAGCCAGTCGTCCTGAACCCAAACATAAGCCAAAGAGCAGAAAAAGACAGCAGCTGGGCAAAGACTCAATATTTGTACAGACTGAGCCCCAGTGTGGCCTCTGTGTTGACTGAACCTGATGTGATTGATTGTGAAAGGTAATGAAATGATCACTACAACTGCTCTGCTCTATACACTCATGGCCTTTCTCCAGACCAACATTAGGTCACTTTTACAACAAAGTTTAGGGATTTATCAACAGTTTGGCTGCAAATCTCGTTTAAGCACCTAATAAGGATGTTGGCTGATTGAGTTTAGGTGACCTACTACTGTGGCTGCAGAGCTATGTTCTTTAAGCACGATAAGAACTTTCCTCACAGCTCTGTATCTGCACCCTCTCCTCTCATAACTCTGCTCGAGGATCCTTCACAGCTTATGCAAAGTGCCTTCACCATCGTCAGCAGAATGTAACATTACCGCTTTGTATCCTGTGTTCGCAAATGATCCACTGTTAGTCTTATGTTGTGATCTTTTTATAAACTCTAGTTAATGATTAGCTACTATGCTCTCTGTGGGTGGTGGAGCACTTAGTACAAATTGTTTGTTTATTTAGAAGAGGGAAACCTTGGAAAGGCGGAGGAGAGAGACGTTGACTCAGTTAAAATCATGTCTAAACCAAGCAAACATAAACTCTCACTCGGCTCCAACTGTTCAATAGCTCAGTTACAAGTCTCCTTTTTGCTAGCAGCTTGAGGCAAGGTGACCTCTCAGGTGCACACACACACACACACACACACACACACACACACACACACACACACACACACACACACACACACACACACACACACACACACACACACACACACACACACACACCTGCAATTGTATACCTTTCCTGACTAGGCTGTCTGTGTCTGCAGGCTGTAATAACCAGCAGAGTGGAACCCTAACTCTGCTTTCTCCACCCTCACCTTCAAGCCCTGATTCATAACAACACCAAACCTCCCCTCAGAAGGGAATGAGTTTTACATTTACAAAAATAAGAGCTTCATTAGCCAGCGGTGGTTGCAGCGATGGTCGAGGGGAAACCATATCGGTACGGGCTGATAGCGGCTGGGCTGTGTGTGGCAGCAGTCGGCCTCTTCATCATGACTCAAGAGCAACCACACATCTATGCCTCAATGTGCTTTCTAGGTGTTACCATGGTGTGTATCGGGACTGTTTGGAGCCTTTGCCAGTGCTATCCCAAGGTAGATACAGACTGTGTGTGTGTTGGGGAGAAAGACACAGGAAATACAGTGATTGTCGTCACAATGAAATTGATTTGATAATAGAAAGTGTGTGTTTGTTAGGTCTATTTGGTTCCTGAGATTCAGGAGAAAAGTCTAGAGGAAGTGCTGTGTACTGCAGCTGGATCAAGGTACTGACACACACACACACACACACACACACACACACACACACACACTAATATAATGGTCCACAGACAAGCGGGTGTTCATTCATGCCTTAATGATTCGGCCATCAGCTAGTGGGCGAAAATGGCGACAGCAGCAGTTTAATGTGCCTGCGGGGGGAAAGATGTCTACTAATACAATATGAATAATAACTTTTTCATCTAAACAGGAAAATGTGGAGAAGTGAAGAAGTAGATATGTAATCAGAGCAGAGGAGGGAGGAGTGGAAGTATGCAAGAGAAAAAAAGGATGAGTGGGGTTGAGAATGAAAAATGCTAATTAGTTGGAAACATAAGGGGGAGATTGAGCAATGCTCCCATTCTCTCTTAACAAGGACCATTTTTGTCTTTTGATTATAGCACTTGAGCCTCAGTGAGTACCATGACCAGTTGGTGAAAAATGTGGTTGCATTGCACAGCTCCTGAATGTGTGTGTGTGTAATAACTCTTATGTTCAGCAGCCAGATAAAGACATGCATGCTCAGCAAAAGCCTCCCTCAGATAAAAACAAAAGTAAGAAAATGAGGACAAAACACTAGAACCAGATTTCTATTTCTGTCTCTCCCACTCTTGGTTTAATTTTAGTCATGCTGAGGCTCTGCCAGGATTCAGTGGCCAAAAGTTGAGAAGCAGCAGACTTCTTCACGAATCCCAGAAGAGTCACAGCTGTCCCACACTGCACCTGCTCTGAGGGAGGGACACTTGCAGAGGACCCTCATCTGTCAAATCAAAACACTCCTCCACACTGCTGAACTTTAATGCTTTAAAATGTTTGTTTGTGTTTTAATGAAAGTGACTGATAATTAACTACTTTGTGTCAGTGTGGAGTTAATACAGATGAATTTATGTGTATTCCAGAAGATGGAACTATTTACTGCATGAAAGAGAAACATTGTGTGTGAATAGTGCACTTGGGGGGCAGTGAGTGACACATTTACCCACATTAAAGGTAGGGTAGGTAAGTTTGAGAAACCGGCTCGAGATCGCTAGAATTTGAAAATACACAGCCGGAGAAAATCTGCCACTTCCTTATAGAGCCCCTCCTCCAACACACACAAACGTGCACATGACCAATGGGGGCACGAGATAAGTTTGTGCACAGATGGAAGGCTGACAGGCAGGTAGGCCATCCAGTTACTTTAGCCGGGCCGGCTAAAATGATTGGTCGTACTTTTTACAGTATTACGGCTTCCACAGATGACATTTTTTTATGGATTTTTTGTCAAAGCACTTAAGATATTCATTGCTATCGGGATGTTAAGAGCATTCCATGGAATATAACAAAAAGTGTATCTTGAGCCGGTTTCTCAAACTTACCTACCCTACCTTTAAGGCACATTTGTTTTACCCAATAATGTCATTAAAGTTGTCCACAGCCACTTAAGGTTGCCCTCTCTTAAAATAGGCGTCTTGCAAGTCAGAATCAGTTCAACAGATATCCTAACTTTAAATCTCTAGTGTCCAGAAACACAGGTCCAGCAACACCAAATGCTAACATTCAAACTGGAGCTTTTCCTATCCAGTCTCCTTCACTACACCCTCCCTTCTTCTAGTAAATGTGTTATGTGGAAAGAAACAGGACCCCTAGTGAACAACAATGTTACTCTATAACAGCTGGATGAGAAAACAAATAACAGTTTGCAAACACAATTCTCGTAACAACGTTTTAGGTCATATCTATCCACAGTCTTGTGTTCATTTGCTTGTTTTCAAGGTTTACTTACATAACTGGGAATTCAGAGATGGACAATGTTAACTTTTCTATCTCCATAGTGACATTGTTGTAACTTCTGCCCTCTGCCTCTCGTCAATGGCAGATGTGCACCATCATGGTCACATATTTGGGGTAAAAGTGCATTTAGTGTGAGCATGTTTGGCTTTCCTGTTTTCCCCATCAGAAATGTTGTCCTCGCTCTGAGCAGTTTCACATTAGCACTTTTTGTGTGAGAACACTGTTGCCCTATCCAAGAGAACTCTGATAACAATAACAATGTTAAGACTTGACAAAGCCCTTATAAGTCAAAGATACGTTTTTATAGTGATTTAGGAGTTTGGGCATCCCAGCAAAAGCAGTCTGAATAAAAAGGACTGAAACTAAGTAGGCCAAGGCTATAACATAATAATAAATAAAAAAATAGCAAATATGAGCTCACCATGATCAGCCTCTTTGCACACATGACGCAACAAGAGTTTATAAACAAGTATTTGCATGCACAACTCTGATTGTTCAGATTTAGTGCAGAAAACAGCATCAATGAATGCACTTGAACTGAGAGAGAGAGTTTGAGATTGACGAGTAATGAGTACAGGATGCTTCAGGGGGAGCATGAAACATGACTCCTCCACAGTGAGAGGTGTTTTAACGGAGGACAATCATTCGATACAAAAGCGGTGGCGTGAGCCCTGGAGACGTCAGCAGTCCCCGCCTTATATTATAAGAATCAATCGTTTTTCTTTATGTTTGCACCCTTAAATCAGAATTAATGATCGGAGGCGTTATCTGACGGCCAGGACGCGCAGCTGTCGGAGGCTCCGCACATCTGCACAACTCAGACTGGAATAGAAACTCACTCTCATCAGTGTAATGTAATAGTTATACTGATCATTTAACTGAAACAGTCCAAGAGGTTTGAAGAATGCGACGCATCTCAGCCTGGGTTGGCTGGGCGCTCTGTTTGTGCACATATTTGGCTGCGAGCGCGCAGGACTACCCGGAGGAGGACGAGATGATCCTGGATCTGTTCAGCGAGGACGGGACTAAACCCGAACCCCGAGCTGTGCCCACTGCTGAGTTCCTCAAGTGCAACAAGGTAACCATCATCATGTCAGGGGCATTGAAGCGCATGTAGATTATCCAACGACCTGTAGCCGCCTGTTTTACACGAGGTTGTGTATACCTGACATGTTTGAGGTCTTCATCATCTCATTGTGCTGAAATAATTGTTATTTATATCCTATGTGTTTATGTCAATGCGTAGCAGAGCCTACTTGACAAACTTTGCCAGAAAAAGAAAGAAATGTTGGAGAAGGGCAGAAAATAAATGATATTTACCTTCCAAGACTATGTAATAATACTGACATTTAAAAAAAATCCATTTGTGAGCATTGGGACAGATCACTTTACTCTTATTTTCTCTCCACTGTGCTTCAGGCAGCGTGGCGCGTGCATGGTCAGTACCTGGTCGTACTGCGTCAGGGCACGCATGGCTCTCACGTGCAGAGGACCATCAGGAGACTGAGAGCCAAAGCAGCCCGGAGAGGTCAGCTGCTGGAGATCCTGCACACTTACTCTGCAGCTCTGCAAGGCTTCATGGTCAAGATGAGCAGCGACGTCCTTCACCTGGTAACACTTCACCTGTCAGCAAAAATTCAGGATTTCTTGACAACTAATTTAAATGTGAATGCAAAAAGGAAAACAATATGTATTGCATTGTAAAAACAGTAAAATATGTATAAATACAAAATAACAAAGTTGTAAGTGTTATTAGATACACTATTTATATGATAGTCTATTTTAAATGGATGGTATTTTGTATAAAGCAACATACATTAAAACGAGAAATAACATGTAACAGAAAAATGTTATAATGAACTCTCATTTGGAGTTATTATTTTCTACAGTAGGAATATTTTAGACTTCCACATAATGAAAGACATGTCTGTAGTACCAAGCATTATAAGAACATATATGTAGACATGCAATCTGGATAAGAGTGCATGTCTTCATGTCCAAGGGCATGTATGGAGAATAATAGGGGGCTTGACCTCTGGGGAATACCTGCAGGAAAGCTCACGATAAAAGCAATTTCGAGTCACTGTTATGATGTCAAAGTAGCTTCTCGTACAATTGATTTATACATTGTGAATCACAGTAAGTATGGCCAAAATGTTCATCACACCATAGAAACTTTGATCACTGTGAACACGCATCCTAATTAGGCCTACATCCTCTTTGATTCACTCAAAAAATAAAACATGAAACCAGTCCTCCAGGCAGTATGTGAGGTTTCACTCTCATTAACTTCCTTGTGCAGGCTTTTATTTGAGACACTCAATAAAGTCTGACCCAAACCGAACTCTGGAAATCACTTTCCATTACTGTTCATCTGCATAGGGACCCTGCACTCTTTTATAGAAATCAAAGCTGCTCTTAAAAGCATTTTTCTTTTAAATAGCTTATTAATTTTAACTGCAACAAATGCATCTTATTTTTTACCCATTATTTGTATTTTACATATATAAAGTTTCCTTATTTCTGCCTTTACTTGCACATTAGTCACTTGTTTATATTTCCTAACCTAATTTATATTTCCTTGTGCACAATTTGTATTATGTTATGTCTTATAGATAGTTATGTTTCATTGTTGGAGGTGCATGGGACTAAGATGTTCATTGCCAAAGCTACACTGTAGCTATTGTGTAGTTGACAATAAAGCCTTTGACTCTTGAAAAATTGTTAAAATATATGTTTGTGTTATCGTTGATTTTATTGATGTTTTTTTGCTGTTGCATGTTATTAATTTGATCGGATGTTTTTATAGTGATTTAGTATAATTGAAAGTGACATTGAGTGCCATAAAAGGTAACATTAAATAAAATGTATTATGATTATTTTTTAATATGAATATAATGATTGTGTTCCTGACAGGCATTGAAGCTCCCTCAGGTCCACTACATCGAGGAGGACTCGTCCATCTTTGCTCAGAGCGCCCCCTGGAACCTGCAGAGGTTACTGCAGCCTCACGGCGGCTCTTCTGAAAACGGAACATACCGGCCGCCCAGTGAGTCTGCCTCTGTGTCAATATGTCAATCACACACACAGATCTAAAGTAATATCTAAAATCCACAACCTCTGCCCTCTGCAGACGACGGAGGTATGGCTTTGGTCTATCTGTTGGACGGCAGTGTTCAGAGTTCTCACAGGGAGATCGAGGGACGGGTCCTGATCACAGACTTCAACAGCGTCCCTGAGGAGGATGGAGTCAGAGTTCATAGACAGGTTGCACACACCAATTTGCTTATTTGTCATTGAAGATAAATAGAACACTCTCAGTTTCCCATGTATGTCTAACTGTTCTCCTCTACAGGCCAGTCAGTGTGACAGTCACGGCACACACATTGCAGGGGTGGTGAGTGGGTCGGACTCTGGTGTTGCTCGAGGGGCCGGTGTTAACCTGGTCCGTGTGCTAAACTGTCAGGGGAAAGGGACCGTGTCCGGAGCTCTGGCAGGTAGGACACCTTCGGATCCGTTGCACTGTTGGGATTATGTTTTATGACAAATGTCACCAAACATTGTCCATTGGTTGTCCTTCGATAGGCCCAGCAGCTCTTTTTATGGCTTATTAAATCACCCTTTGAGCCCATTCACAGTGTAATTCTCCATGGAAAGCAGGTATGGAAATGGAACTGCTGTTGCATGCAACCATTATGTAGAAACACATTTGAAAAGGGAAAGCAAGGGTCACTACATCTGCAGCTGCAGGATTTACATCTCTCTTTTCTCAACATCCCTCTCCAGGTCTAGAGTATATCCAATCCACTCTTCTGGCCCGCCCCGTGGATGCTGTGGTTGTGTTGCTGCCTTTCTCTGGTGGTTTCAGCCGGTCTTTGAACGCAGCCTGTCGGGACATGGTGGCTAAAGGAGCTGTGGTCATCGCCGCTGCAGGGAACTACAGAGATGACGCCTGCCTCTACTCACCTGCTTCAGAGCCTGAGGTTGCACACGTCTTCTTTGCAACATGTCACATACAGATGCTCGGTCAGGACACCTTGGAGTCCATTTTTATCATCTGGGTACCCTTTGGCATAATTGTACAACATGCAGTGTAGTCCAATAGACGCATGGTTAACGTTGTGGATTCAAACTAAAATATTTGGTTATGCTTCAGTTACATAACCATAAGTAACTATTGTACTTATGTACCTAAACCTAAATTAAAATGATTAGGGTTAGGGTTAATAAGAACAAGTACGAAAATTGCACTTTTGGTGTCACACAGAACACTAAACAGTCTTCTTCTTGTTTGTTGGAGCCACCCTTCAACCAGAAACATTTACAAAGACATTGTCACTTTTTAAACTACATCACCTGACTATACTCTCGTCAAAATTACTACATCCACTAGAGGCAGCCTACACGTGTAAAAATGACGCTGAAAGGGTTCAATAATTGATAGTTTGATGTGTATTACTAGGGACCATGTTGCCATTTTTGAAAGGTTGGGTGTAAAGAACTTGTTGTGAGATAACATAACACTTAACACAAAGCTTCTGATAGACGATTCACACACACTCTTACCTTATTTTGTGTGTGTGTGTCTGTGTGTGCAGGTCATCACAGTAGGGGCAGTAAACTCAGTGGACCAGCTCATGTCACAGGGAGCGGGGGGCACCAACTTCGGCCGCTGCATCGATCTGTTCGCGCCCGGTGACGACATCGTCAGTGCCAGCAGTGACTGCAGCACCTGCTTTACATCCCAGAGTGGAACCTCCCAGGCTGCTGCACATGCTGCAGGTATACACACACAAATACAACTTAAATAAATCACAAGTTACTAAAAATAAAACGGCTGAGTATTTATTTTTGTTTGTGCACCTGCAGGTATAGCAGCTGTGATCCTCTCTTCCAATCAGAACGTGTCGCCGGTGCAGGTAATGCAGATGATGCTGCATTATTCCATCAGCCACACGATCAACTTCCTCTCTCTGCCCGACTCACATCGTCTAATTTCTCCCAATCTGGTAGCAGCCATGCCTCCTGCTAACAGCGCAAGTTAGTGATATATAAAGCATCATTTTACACACAACCACAGGCAAAACACAGCATCACTTATAGTTCAAACTGTGTGTCTGTTTGGGTGTGCAGATGAGGAGCTTCTGTGTCGATCAGTGTGGTCCAAGAGGTCAGGGGTCACAAGCTCTGACCAGGCTGTCAGTCGCTGTCGTCTGGGGGAGGAGATGATGAGCTGCAGCAGCTACACCCCTGATGGTGTCCATGCTGGAGAAACCATCTCTGTGAGTCCAAACTACCATCTCATTGTCACTAAAAAAAACACTCCAATCTAAACCGTTCATATGTGGTTACAGGAGAGCAGCGGGCAGATGGAGTGTGTTGCCTTTAATGCTCTGGGGGGGAAAGGTGTGTATGCTGTGGCGCGGTGCTGTGTGATCGGTGGTCTGCAGTGTCAGGTCCATGCCAGCCCTGAGTGTGTCGCAACGCAGTATCATCTCACCGGTGAGTCACAGCTATGTGGAGTTTAAAGCATTCTTTTTTTAGAAATCTTGTAAAAGACACTTATTTGCCAAGTTTTAGATAAGTGTGATAGTAGTTTTATGTCAGTTCACAAGATATGAAGTTACAACCAGAAGCACTGTAGAAAAAATGATGTGGGTGGTGAGAGGCAGAATAACTTATGTTTGACACAAAACCCTTCCTAGTGTTTTTAAAGGTTGTAAAAATGTTCTTGGAATTGGATGTTGTGTAAATTGACCTTAAAAATAGTGCATCCTCTTAAAAAAAAAGAGCTCTGCTCCTGAAATGATTATCCACCCTCCTCTGCTTAATACACCCTCCCTTAGATGATCTTAGTTTAAAGTGGACCTATCATGCTATATTTGAATAATATAGTGTATGACCATATCTATATAAGGCATATTTATACTTTTTTTTTTTCAAAATACCAAACAGATCATGCATTTTAGCCATGCCTCATTTTGCTCAATTTGACAATTTCTAGCTCTGTTTTTGCAAGGGCAGATTATGTGAGAACAGCACCATCTACTGGCCTGGCATATGTACTACAGCGTCTCCAGCGCTTTCGAACGGCAATGGCCGTGGCTGTCTCCTCCTGATTGGTGGAGTTGGCCCAATAGCCATAGCGCCACTGTCCTGACGTCAGGACAGTGTTCAAATCTGGATCAGTTTTTATCAGATCCGTTGCAGCCCCTTTTTTAGAGATTTGGGTATGGAGGAAAATAGAGAGGGTTGTGTTTTCTGACACTTGGTGAGTTCCCTGGAACACCGGGGACACATATTCATGTATAAAAGACATACAAAAGTGCATTTTGCATGATAGGTCCCCTTTAAGTTAGTTTGTGAGCTTTAGAGGTGCTTGTAACTTTGGACAGAACAGACAATAAAAGGGCTGCTGTAAAGCTGACTGGGTGGAGCTGGCGGCCCGTTAAACTGGGGCTCAGACCAGTGGACCATGGGACCATTTGCCACGTGTCATCCCCTCTGTCTCCCCCTTTCAAATCTTAAACAAATGCACTGGTGGAAGGAAAAACCTTTAAACATAAAACAGACAATCAATGAACCGCCATTTCCAGTCTTTATGCCAGCCTCCTACTTTATTATGAATGGATAGATATGAGAATGGTATCTATTATCATCTAAATTTCATTAAGAAAGCAAATAAAATATTTCCAAAAACATCCACCTACTTTAAAAAAATGTTTCTCTCTTAGTGTGTTGAAGTCAGTCAAACTTGTGCTGTACTTTGTGTGTACTGCCCTTTAGAAAAAAGCACGGTACACCAAGTTCATGCTTCAAACGTGGCTGCTTTTAGAACATCATGGTCAATTATGCCAGTTACCATGGCAATCCCCCTGAAAGGAAAATTATTTCTCCGCCAACATAAATATCAGCGACACGCAGCGTATGTAGTGCAGGGTCGCCAAACATATAGTTAACATTATATTCCTCAGCCTCTGCTTTCATTATGATCACTGTGAGGTAAATGGGTCACTGCAGGTCTGAGAATCACTCATGGAGAATGGATAGAAATACGAAATACTTCCAAGGCCTCATTATAAACATTACTACCACATTAGACCTTATATTACAGTAAATCTCATATTTCAGATATCTTCCCCCCTGAAATAGCTACTATATTTCTTTCTTTCTATATTAACATAACATAAGTTTGAGAAACCGGCTCGAGATACACTTTTTGTTATATTCCATGGAATGCTCTTAACATCCCGATAGCAATGAATATCTTAAGTGCTTTGACAAAAAATCCATAAAAAAATGTCATATGTGGAAGCCGTAATACTGTAAACAGCACGACCAATCATTTTAGCCGGCCCGGCTAAAATAACTGGATGGCCTACCTGCCTGTCAGCCTTCCATCTGTGCACAAACTTATCTCATGCCCTCATTGGTCATGTGCGCGTTCGTGTGTGTTGGAGGAGGGGCTCTGTAAGGAAGTGGCAGATTTTTTCCGGCTGTGTATTTTCAAATTCTAGCGCACTCGAGCTGGTTTCTCCAAAATTACATACCCCACCTTTAATCAGAATTTCATTCAGAATTTCCTAGCAAAATAAAAAAATGATATGAAACTAATCTTTCAACATAGTTTAATACAAAAATAAATATTAGGACAAAGCCCTACAAATAACAACAATAAACATAATTAAAGCTGCAAGAAGCGTTGAGCGGGTCTTCGACGCTCCGCAGGCTGTTGTCCGCACGTCGAGGTGTGTGTGTAGGTGTCTCGAGGACTCGGCCGTTGGCAAACGTGGGAAGTTTCAGGCCGATCGGACAATGTATTTAGGAGTTACAGCAGTATCATAAACATTGTGTTTGATGGCGAGTGATCTGTCGCCATGGCAACGGAATTTGATGACACCCCATAATACGCCTAGATGTGTTGAGGGCTGCATCGTTATCAAACCTGTGAAGTTTTGGGCCGTTTGGAGCATGTTAACTGGAGTTATGAGAAAACCGTGTTTCACGGCGACCATTTTGTTACCATAGCAACGACATTTGACGAAATCTCAAAACTGACACATATATGTCTCGAGGGCTTGACCGTTAGCACACATGTGAAATTTCAACACTTTTTTACCATTTACACAGGACTTAAAGCAATATCGTGCTTAACGGCGAGGGATGCACTGCCATGGCAACAGCTTTTGAGGAAAACTCACTATTGTCATATTGAGGTGTTGAGGGCCGGACCATTAACTGTCATCTGAAGTCTGGTGCAGTTTGGACCATTTTCCATTGAATTAAGACAACATCGTGTTTTATGGCGAGTGATTCGTTGCCATGGAAACGGCATAAGGTGAGATCTCAGATTTCACGTAGAGCTGTTGAGGCATGGACCGGTGATATAAAAGTGAAGATTGGGGGATGATGGGACCGTGTCCATTGGAGTTACAGCGACACCGTGTTTTATGGCGAGGGATGCGTTGCCATGGAAACGGCATATGATTACATCCCATAATTGGCGTATAGCTGTTGAGGGCCAGACCATTAGCCATCATCTGAAGTCTGGTGCAGTTTGGACCATTTTCCATTGACTTAAGACAACATTGTGTTTTATGGCGAGGGATGCGTTGCCATGGAAACGGCATATGATGACATCCCATAATTGGTGTAGAGCTGTTGAGGGCCGGACCCTTAACTGTCATCTGAACTGTTTTTTTTTAACTGTCATCCCTGTTTTATGGCGAGGGATGCGTTGCCATGGTAACGCCATATTAAGTAACATCAAATTTGACGTAGAGCTGTTCAGGGCCGCAGTGTTAACCATCATGTGAATTTTGGTGGCATTCTGAGTATGTCAGTTGGTGTTATGATATCATCGTGTTCCATGGCGAGGGATCGCCTAGCATCAAGCGAACGCGAACTTTGGCGCCAAATCACGGCTACGCCGTGCGAAAGAAAAAAACTTCCGTGATAACTTTGAATTGCCCATGTCTCGAGACGCTACCCGACGAATTTCGAGTCGTACGGATAAAGTCCCTGGGAGAAGATAGATTTTGTGCGGAGGACGAAAAACGCGATAAATCGCGTTTTTCCGACGCCAAATTCAAAATGGCCGACTTCCTGTACGTTATTTTATACCCCTCCAAGAGGCTTTTTTGTTCGTCTCCACACCCTAGATATGGGTAGCGAGTTTCGTTCGTTTACGTGAAAGTTAAAGTGCGGGGAGTTTACGTTAAAAACGGAAGTGGGCGTGGCCTACGCAATTTTTTACGCAAAGTTCCGGAACCAATTACATATCGCAAGTTGCACCACTTCTGACGCGCGTGCAAAATTTGGTGAGTTTTCACATATGTTGCGGGGGTCAAAGGTTTATCGGTCGCTGTGCGACCGATTTCAATAGGGTCTTCGCCGACCTAGGTCTCAGACCCTAATAATAAAAAAATTAAAATGTTTTATTCAGCCCTGATTAAAACAGCGGGCCCAAATCCTGGATGGGCGGGCCCGGCCCCATGGGGCCCGCCCGTGACGCCGGGTCTGAAGTAGGCTATGTGTAAAAAAGCAGGAAATAAAAAAGGAAGTCACCTTGTAGTAAACCCGGAAGAAAAAGCATTTGAGCTCTGTGGGGGAAAACTTCTGTGTAGCAATGCAGTGGGAGTCACCGACTCAGGAAGGAGACACGGGGAGAGCTGGAGCTTTGATGTCAAACACTGATGGTTTATTACGAGCTTCGGCCGGAGAATTCACAAAACAAGTCCAAGAGCCAGAGGTTCTGACTTCACGGTAGAGTTGCCACGTCAATTCTGAAGAACTCTACCCCAGACCCATGTATTTAGCTAGTTCAGAGAGAATAATCAACATTGTGCATAACAAGATAGAATGATAACACCTCTATCAGCTGACGCCAACAGGCAGGAACAGGGAGACAAAACACTGAGAGCACAGCAGCCAAGGTTACAGGTGCGTGTGCTCAGTCAGGACAGTATGAACTGATAAACTGGGTCAAAGTTATGGGCCTTGGAAAATATTTCCCCAACAAGCTCCATACTGTTTCAGAAATAATCCTTGAAGTGGTTTGTAACATGATATGGCGTTTAATCACGGCAGCGTTTGGCTGAGTATCTGCCGGTAGAGAGGAGACCTCACTGTTTGCCTTGCAGTGCTCCAAAGGGGGCGGGGCCAGCAGCTACTGATGTTAGTGTTGTTTGTGTCTCCAGGCTGCACATTGTGGTCTGCTGCTGGGATCTCAGCTGACTCCCGTCCAAATGGCAGTGATCGGAGGCGTTGTGTTGTGAGCAGCGGGGCCACATCTCATGCTGTTTGCTGCCATGCTCCATCTCTGGAGTGCCACCTGTTGGAAAAGATATCAGCTGATAAAGATCAGGTACATATTTTATTTAGACCAATATAAATGTCTATGGAGGCCCTAAGAGGCAAATTAGAAAAAAATCAGATCAAAATCTTATGTTCTTAACTTTATGACAGGTAGAAAAAAATATTTGACTATCATTTGTTCAAATATGTTTCATCTGATAAGACAGAGCAACCTTTTGGGAGGTGATTTTTTTTTAATCAGGTTAATTTTAGCAAATTATTTCTCACCAGTTTTTGTTGATGTAATACTCATTTGGTCCACCACAGGCTGAAGTGCAACACTACCCGATGTTTTTAATAGGACTAAAAGCGTTAGATTAGCTTCGATAAATATACTTTCTAGCTAAATGAAAGACATGACAGTATTTTACAAAACTTAAACACATTCGTGCGTTGTATTTAAAGTGCATTAATTAATAAAAACTCACGAGCAAGAATAAATACTTGTAGCTTTAACATATGGTAGTGGTGCCTTTTGTGGCCCAAATGATTATTACAACACTTAGAAATATTATCCTGACAAAAAAACTGACAAGATCTTTCAGTTTCAGGAGCGAAAAACAATTTATATCAGACGTAGAAAGTGAAATATAGAAAATATGAACTGTGCCTTAGGGATCCTTCCTCCAGACATTTTCTTTTTAACCCTTTCACTGCTGCTCTTTTGCAGGTGGAGGTGTCCTGTCCCTCCGGCTGGACTCTGACCGACTGTAGCGCTGTCTCTCCTGGCTCTGTCGTCTTAGCGCCAGTTGCTAAGGGGAACAGTTGCCATGTCGGCAGTGCATCAGGAGCTGGCGGGGCTGCTGGCGTCGCTGTCTGCTGCCGCGTCAGACAACCAGAGCAGCGCCGCGCTTCACCTCCTCCCTGATCTCACTCCACTCTGATGTCCTACAGCCTTTATATTTATGTAATGTTGACTGGAAGGAAACACACACACTCCTCTTGCTTTGTCTCCTTTGTGGTGCAGGGAATACATTCACATGGGGATCTAATTTTAAAGAAAAAGGTCAATTCCAGGAAACACTTTTCACCTCTGCATTGATTAACTTAAAAATAGTTGAAGTTCAGAAACGACTTGATAAAGGATCTAAGACTGAAACGCAGAGCGGTTGATAAGTGTGTGCAGGCATTGACTTTAACTCTTTGAAATTAGGTGTCTATTGATATCATCTATAACTTTGATCAGTTGTCAACGTTTGTCTGTTTCTCAGTTTTAGAATTAGGTCAAATATGCCCTAGCAGATATTGTTCTATTCATTAGAACCGTCTTGTATGCAGTTTGTAAAATATAACCACAAATATTATATATCTTTTACAAAGGAAATATTCTGAAAAAGCTTTCCCCCGAACCTGTGGTCAATTGAATACATTCTATCTTAGGTGATATATTGAAACTGATTGTGGCACCCTGGTAAGGCCTACATGTCCCAGGATGCATTGCATGTGGGGTTCTGAGGCACAGGGTCTCCACGGGCTATATCCTCGCTTATGTTGCTGCTGACTCAGCTCTGTCTGCCCTGCATTTTTTGGCCATTTCCTCAGGCTTGAATGATCATGTCTGAATATCCAGGACTTATCTAGAGCTCACAAACTGGGTGCCCATAGCTTCCTTGCACAAAACTACATCACCGTTACTTCAAAAAACAATCTGGATTCAGGAAATACATTACATTTTGAAGCGGCCTACTCAGATTTCCCGATAAATAAACTGGCACTGAGGAATTTATTGCTTCAGTCGACTATATTTGCAACAACATTGATTGGTCTTCCACTGAGGCGGTAACATTTAGTAGAGGTAGTAGAAGTAGAGGCAATACACATTCTCTAACCAGAGGGTAATCTAGTAATACCTCTTTTTCACAGCAGACATTAACAAAGGTCATCTTATATTCAGAGTCCCAGTAAGACATGACAGTGGGACAGTATCAGGACCCTGGACTAAAGCAGCTGAAATGTAATTCAGTCATCATTCATTTTATTATTTACAGCCGGGATTTTCCTACAGTCATGTCAGAATGTCTTTGTGAAAAACTCATATTAAAAGACAGTTGACACACACGGACGCTCAGCAGTTTAGTCAAATCAGGGCTGAAATATCCATCAGTGCAGCAAACATTTTCACACACGTAATAGTGTTTACAGTTCTGAGTGTAGGTGAAAATCAGGCAGCAGCAGCAGCAGCAGGATTGTGGGTAATAATCTGCCCTATTAGCAGATTGAATAATGATGAGCCAGATATCTTCTGCTCTCTCTCTCTCTGTGTGTTCCCACAAAACAATTAAACAGCTGTCTTGAATGCTTGAATAAATTACATGTGTCTGTCCTGGGCATTGAACTGCATTTATGTGAAGTGAATAAAATAAAGTGAAAAACACAATGCCATTTAAACCAAGCACACTCAAAGGACTTTGATTTAAAGATGTCAGCATGGAGAGCACCACAGGGCAGGGCATGAGTGGATTGAAGTTTGATTGGCACAGGAGATGTGGTTTCATCATTGCTAAGGTGATACAACGCGTCATGATTTATGTCTCATCAGATTAGATTATTCTCTACAAAAACAAAAGCCACCACATTAAGCTGTGTTTATTCTTAAAGTGGAGCTCACCTCATTATCAGCCCAATATTACTTTTTCACAGCATCTTATTTGAGTTATCATTGAGGAACAGCACAGGTGTACTAATGACTATAATACTGATGAAACTTCTCTATTAATAACAGTAAAACAGATTGTGCGACAACAGGATCTTAATACTGAAGTGGTTCAAATAATTCAGCAGTAATTCATTAAATCATCACCTGTGCTTTTCTTCCAATGATGTCAAAAGTCTTCAATAAAAAAGGTCTATTCATGTCTGCTGTATCAAACCAGAATATGCTACATAAATCAACATGAAAAGGTAACAAAAATAAAACCCTCAAGGTGCACCAACATTTTGTAATGTGACAAGGTGTAAACATACATAAAAACAATGTTTACAAAAGGTTGTGCATTCCAGTTTATTTTATATCAAATTTCCCCTTATTCAAACTCTGATGTACAAATTAAAACTGAGTTTTAACATGCATTACAGAATCCTGCGATGGCAGAAGTGAAGTCTCAAAATCGAATGACTGTAAAAACCCGTACAGATGCCAATCCCCTGCATCTCAGGATTAAAACGATTGTTTGGAAGTTTTTTTTCTTTTTTCTTTTTAAGTAGTTGTGGTGATGTAGCAGTGGGGAAAACATAGGAGACGCTGTTGGCTGAATGTGGCTCATGTTGCCATGTATCTCTTGGCACAGACTGCATGCAGCTCCATCAGACAGAGAAGGGGCCAATGATGTGAAAGTGAGTGCTAATGACCAAATAACACAGCAAAAAACACATGTGGAGGGGGGGGCTGTTTTTTATCTCTGTCACACAAAAAAGACAAACTTCACCACCACTTACTGCCACACATGCAAACGTGCCGAGAGACAGCACGACGTGACATTCACATCTAGAGAGAGGGTAATGGGCCGGATGGGGGGGGGTGTGGAGGGGATAAAACAGCCTCTTCTCAGGCTCTGAGGACGCACAGAGCCTCAGTGGATTGATCACGTGACAACTCCCAACAGAAAAAACGGTTTTGAATGATTGCTTGATAGATTCTCACACTGTAAACATTGACCTGTTAAAGCTGAGAGCTAATCCGCTAAGCTAGTTTAGGCTCATGTCTTCAGAACGTTTCAGTGAACATGTGGCTTCTTTAAAACTACCTAGCATAAATCTGTATCTACAAAGTGTCTCTGCTTGAGTGCAGAGTGAAAAGAAGCAGCATTTTACCATCACCGAAACCCTGTCCTGTCACCTTAACCCCGTTTTATTAGGGTCAAACTCACACCCCCCCTCCCTCCCCCATACACACAGAATCAACAGTTACATTCCTACAATCCTTTGTCACAACACACAGAGGACATTTTCCCTGTCTTATTTTGGGTCTAATGGGGATGAAGAAGCCCTGTTGTACTCCGATAGCGAGACTATCTGACCACGTGGACACTGGTTGGGTGTCGCGGTCAGGTGGAGCAGATGTGGACCCACCTCCTCAGAGATGAGATGATAAGAGTTTTCGGAGGTGGGACGGGGGAGAGATCGAAAGGTTAAGGCACTTCAAGTCTCCCGATGACTGGGGGCAGGGACGATGGATTCACTGGTGCTGTTCTGCTGTGAAACTAGAGCTACGTTTGGGTTCAGCTCCTCTGTGTGTGTGTTTCCAAAAGGTAGACAAAAGCAAAAAAAAGGCCAGGCAAAAAAAAGAAAAACACCATTGAAAAAGACAAACTAATCAAACCTGATAAAGCAGAGGTAACAGTGATGCGATAAGGACCTGCTCTTTGTGTTTGTGAGCGGAGTGAATGAGTGACACACGTTTGCATGGTTTTCACAAGTTCTATCATGTGTGTGTGTGTGTGTGTGTAACCTTGGCACCTCAAAAGAAAACCTGCTCCTGAGCTCCCCCTCAGTCGGCACTGACGGCCCACCACCACTGATCTGTGCACTTCCAGATCAGCTTTTTCTTGCATAAGGCTTGAGTCCCTAAACATCCTCTCCAATATTCAATGCATCCGGAGTCAAAGAAAAATGGCAACGAAAATAAAAAAACAGCGATAAAAATAATAAAAATCCAGCACATGGGGCTGCCTGACAGCGAGACGACGTGAACAGAGGAAGAGTGCGGACCATGGCACTGCTTTTTTTAAAGATTTGATGAGGCCGTGTCCTGTTTATGGGACAGAGCCCTGTACTGCGGCCCTGGTGAATGGTTAAGTCACGCAAAGCTATCAGGGCTTCCATGTGTCGGCATAAGTGGCACTGAAAATATAAGTTGTTAAAAGCAAGAAGACGAGGACACGATGGCGAAGAGGCTCTAGAGGAAGTGACCAGTTCAGCTGTACATCACAATAGACTGGGCTGGACTATAAAGTGCATACTTATCCCCAACCCCCCCCACAAGTGCTCGTGTGTGGAGGGGCTACTGTACGTCTGTACATTCCTCTAGAGCCGCTAACGTGACCTTTTGCAAATTGCATGGCTGTGGAGAAGAGCACAGGAGACTTTAAAATATTATCTTACACAGGAAAGTACATCTATGGAACAAATCTTTACAATATGAATATGTCTATGTAGATACATTGGCAAATATGAGCAGAAAATTGTTAAAACACAACCCAAACCCATCCTCCACCTTGCTGTCATTCTGAGTGAATGAATGAATAAAAGGATAAACTGAAGTCATCCGCGTGACCGAGGAAGGTTTTTTCTTTTTCTACTTTCCCCCATAATCAACTCTGCTGCCCTTAAAGATAATGCATCTCCATCGTCGCCTTGGCTGCTCTGAAAGGAAGTAATTTATGATTTATTCATAGCTCCTTCGTTGCTGTAGCGACCAAGAGAATAAGTGTTCTGATTGGCTTGTGGTTGGAGTCCCAAATGTCCCGACCAATCAGAGGCAAAGTGCAGCCCTTTCAGTCGGCTGCCCGGAGCTGTGCCACCTCTCCATCGGAGGCCTCTCCTGCGGGGGGGCCGAGCTACGGGTCCACGTCTTCTAGATCGCTCTTCGAATCGCCGAGCATCATGGGAGACTCTGACCCCTGTGGGAGAGACAGATACAAAAAATATATGAGAACAAAGAAAGAAATGTCGTGTTTTTTTTTTAGAAGGAAAAGGAACAAATGGTGGAATATCTAGCAGTGACAGCAGGATTATTCTATTATTATTCTATACAGCACTCTGATTATCTGGAGTATTCCTGTCAGTGCCAGAGTGAGTCTGACAGCGCTGAGTTGTGTGGGCTTCCTGTCAGGAACAGCAGGAGTCATCAGAATAATGAAGCCGTTTATAATCCACCATTATTAACCACCGTAGGAGGTAACAAACTGCCTTTGCGGCTTTTGAAAGAAACTGCGGAGATGTTCCATTTTTGTTCCATTCTTCTCCTTTTTGGCTGCGTGAACTGAGCATGAGCTGCCATAATACGATGAGTCATGTGAAGAAGCTGGCTGTGCTGAGGGCTACCTGTCGGAGGCTGCGGTCGGCGTTTTCGTTTGCCGGGCTGCCGTCTGAGCCGTTGCTGCTGCCGGACTGCTCCTTCTCGTTTAACAACGCCGTGGCATAGGCCAAGGTGTCCTGCAGAGATGAATACACACAATAGCACAGGCAAGTTGAGAGCAGAAGAGAATGTCAAGAACAAGTGACAGGGTGGGTTTGTGTAGGGAGGTGGAGGAACTAGGGGGGGATCATGTCATGCTGATTAAGTATATATATGTATGTGTGGGGGTATGTGTGTGTGTGTGTGTGTGTGTGTGTGTGTGTGTGTGTGTGTGTGTACCTGTGCAGAGATAGTGCGCTGGAAGGTTTTGTTAGTGGATGTCTCGTTGGAGACGTTGCTCTGTGGAGTCCAGTAATGTTCAGTCATCTGAGGGCAGGAGAAATATGATTTAAAAACACAATGAGTACATGGTATTTATTCACATATGTAAACTAATTTGAAAACATTTTGAATATAAAAGCCATGATTTGAATTTGCTTAAATAGTTAGCTAAAAGTATCTCTCTCCCATCGTTTCAGAAGGCTATCTACATTCACTAGTTAGCGCAAAAATGCCTAAAAAAATACCAAACATATTTCTGAGAGAAGCTTGCCTTTTTCTGCAGCCACTGCACCGCCCAGCTCCAGTGACCAGACAAGTCCTTGAAGTAATCTTTGGCTGGAGCACACCTAGTGGAACATTGAAAATAAGATTTGACATTGACTGAATCATTCAAAAGACTACACCTCTATACTTCTGGCCCTTAGATGAACTCACTTCTGGGCTAATGTGACCAGGAACTTCACACACTGGTAGCAGCGTCGGCTGTCCACGTTGTTGCTCTGGTGCATCAAAGCTGGGAAGAAAAAGCACTCCGTTAGATTTTTAACAATCAATGAATTCATGTAACACACACAATCAGAAGATGTTGACAATATGCATGGCAGTTAACTAACAATGGTTAAAAGAACAGTATTATATTGTAGATGTATGACATGAACGTTTTTTTTACTCCATTGATGTCCCAGCTGTGGGTATTAGAGAAACAACAAACGTACCTAAAAGGCCTTTCTCTGACTCAAATGCATACTTGAGTCTCTGGGTTTGCAGAGGGTCTTCCATTACCTGATTTGAAAGATTGAAATGATGTTAGGAAACCTGTTCATTAAAGCAATCAGATTTTACAAATAGGTGAAGGGTTACAGAGTCAACCGGTGAGCGTCACTCACCAGTAGCTCCTGCAGCATCTGGAAAACGTTCTTCAGTTCATGAGGGGGGGCAGTCTCCAGCTGGGACTACGAGACACAACATATTCAGAAGGAATTATAATAGAGAATACTAACAACATTTAAGAACATTAAAAAATAACAAGAATTGATCAAAAAACTGTCAAATAAATCAAAACACAAGATGAAAATAGCGGGAACACATAGTAGGCTATTGGATATGCATTTGTAAAAATTAACAAGAGCTGTTTTAAGCAAACACGGCTAATTATGACTTTTTACTTTGAATTAAAACGTTGGATTTTCTCTTTGAACAAGTATGGAATCTCTTCTTTACCATATTAAAGTCTTTGAGGAGACCCTTGACAAGTATTTTATTTTCAATACAGGGAAATAGTACATCTTCATTCAAGTGAGTAAAGGTAGTTGGATCTGAGTCTTCCCATTTCAGTGAAATTACATTGGGCTTCAGTCCTAACATTGTACTTGGGGTCTGGAGGGGAACCAAAGATGGTTATGAACGGGTACAGGTCATTAGTTCTGTTTTGGCATTGTGAGACAGTTTCAAAGATAAGACCAACATTTGAAGCTGAGCACGTTAAAGTTTACCTTTAGCAGCTGCAGCACACCCAGGGAGAAAGGCTCGTTACAGTACGAAATGTAGGTCACCATCTCGATCAGGAGGGACAGCGGCCCGGACAGCTCCCGCATGGCAAACATCACCTGGAAATATTTCAAATGAGAAACATCAAAGACCTTCTGAGCTTTTTTCTTAAACCCCCATTTGGGTTTTTGTGATTCTTCTATATCCCTGATTG